AACACCTACTAAAGTAAACGGTAAGCCTCCCGCTTTGCTGCCTGTTGATTTGAACATCATTTCGACCTTTCTACTTCTAATGACAATCTTCTGTCTTTGCCATCTTTGCTGCATAAAAGGAAGAAAGACTTCCCAGTATTTCATTCAACCCTCGTAATAATGATCAAAGGTTTGGAAACGTATGAGAAACAGATCCAGATGGAAGTTTCTGACAAAGCGACAAGTGCTTTGGTTGAGTTACTTACCGAAAGGGTCCTTTTGCTTGTCGAGATCTGGCAGCTGAAGTTTTGCATTGTGTTCTCATCCAAGCCTCACCTTCCAAATGGCAAAAAAATGGGGCAACGTTTAGTATTTAGCCAAAAAGCCCAGGCCGAGTGGCCTTGCCATATCATAGTGTTTTGGGGAAGGAGACCTTTGTGCAGCCACACACCAAGCCCAGTGCAAAACAATATGCTTTCCTTTTATTTTCTGTTCACAGTTAAACACAAGCAGAACCGCCTTGACGCCTTAGAACCTTCTAGTCAGGACCGCCAATTCCCCTTCCCCTTCCCACCTCCCCCCAAAAAGAGTCCTCTCTTAGCTTAGATAGTACCATTTCATGTCGTCGTCATTTCGTATTTCTGGCATTCGTTGTCAATTGTCCTCGTTGGCCGTGCTTCCGAAGGAAAAAATACAAAAAAGAATCCATTCCCAGCTTCAAGCAACGAGATCCGTGTTGTTTTTTTCCGCCAAGAAACGGTGCTTTTTTCTGTTCTTTTTGCTACATCCATGATTCGGAGACTGAGTGCAGAACGGAGCCGTGTCCTCCATCATTCCGTCAGAGAGAAAATCACCCAGGAGACCCAAGTTTCTTTAAATACGCTGCTTCGGGATGAGAAAGGAGAGCGGGAAGGGCCGCAAAGAGAGCCAGTTGAAGCCTGTCCCCTTCTCATGGGGCTGAGCATCAACATGCCTTTGGATGGGCTGCGTAGCATTCTGGGCAGGGGGAGGGAGAGGCCACCGACCACCAGCACTTCCTTCCACATCTTTTCCAACAACCCCCAAGCTATTCCGTTCCCAAAGAGAGGGTTTGCATGTGTGTTCTGAATGGCGTGCCTTGGAAATGTAACGCAGGACCACCGGAGGGGACGGGAGGGTCTAGGCACAATCCCCCCGACAGGCAGGCTGCAGGCACTGCAAGGGGAAAGGGAACCACAGCGTGCGTCCCTGCAAAGAGACAGCAGCCAGGAAGCGGGGAAGGAGGAGGAGGAGCCAAGGGCCCATCCACATGCCCTCCAAGGGGCTCAGGCCCGGAGCAAGGCCAGGACTGAAGAAGCAGCAAAGCAGAAGAAGGCAACAGGCCCAGGAAGGGATGAAAAAGAAGGAAAGAAAGAAAGAAGGAATGAAGGGAGGGAGGGAAGGAAGGAAGAGAGAAGGAAGGAAAGATGGAAAGAAGGAATGAAAAGTGGGAGGGAGAAAAGGAAAGAAGGTAGGGAGGAAGGGAGGGAAGGGAGGAAAGGAAGAAGGAAGGAATGAAAGATGGGGAAAAATAAAAGGAGGGAAGGGAAAAAGGAAGAAAGGGTGGGAGGAAGGAAGGGGAAGGAAGAAAGAGGGAGGGAAGGAGGGAGGGAGGGAGGAAGAGGGAATGAAAGGAAGGAAGAGGGAGGAAGGGAAGGTTGGAAAGGAAAAAAGAAGGAAGGAAGGAAGGAAGGAAGGAAGGAGATGGAAAGAAGGAATGAAAGGAGGGAGGGGAAAAGGAAAGAAGAAAGGGAGGAGGGAGGGAAGGAGGAGGAGGAAGGAAAAGGAAGGAAGGAAGGAAGGAAGAAGGAAAAGGGAAGAGAAGGGAAAGAAAGGAAGAGGAAGGAGGGAGGAGAGGGAAGGAGAAGGAAGGTAAGGAAGAGGGAAGGAAAGAAGGAAGGGAGGGAGGGAGAGAGGGAGGGAGGGAGGCAAAGGAAGAAAGGGAAGGAAGGGAAGAGGGAGGGAAGGAGGAAGAAAGAAAGAGGGAAGGAAGGGAGGGAAGGTAGGAAAGGAAGAAAGGAAGGAAAGATTGAAAAAAGGAATGAAAGGAGGGGAAAAAGGAAGGAAGGGAGGGAAAGAGGGAGAGAGGGAAAGGAAGGAAGAGGGAAGGGAGGGAGGAGAGTGGGAGGGAGGGAGGGTTGGAAAGGAAGGAAGAAAGGAAGAAGGAAGGAATAAAGAAAGGAAAGATAGTAAGAAGGAATGAAAGGAGGGAGGGGGGAAAAGGAAAGGGAGTGAGGAAGGGGAAAGAGGGAATGAAAGGAGGGGAAGAAGGAAAGATAGAAGGAAAAATGAAAGGAAAGAAGACAGGAAGGGCCCACCGGACTCCATCTCACCCAAGAGGTCCCCTTTATTGGCAAGACTCCCCCCCCTCCCCCCCGCTCCAGCCTGATTCCCACCAGAAATGCTTCTGCCACCAAGCCCGGTTCACACAAGGAAAGCCGTGGAGAGGCGCTTATTAGACCAGCTTATTAGACCAAAGGAAGGTGTTGAGATTTGGGAGGGTGGGTGTTTAAAGAAGCCCAGCTTGGGGGGGAGGGAAAACACTGGGGGGGGGGCTGTTGGGGTCACGGGGGGGCTGGGATTGGGGGGCTACAGGAACCATTCCAGCCAAAGTGAAGGGAGGCTGGCAAGAAAGGTCAGGGAAGGGCCATTATCTTGGGAGCCTCCAAGGCCGCTGGGGAGGGAAGTGGGGCTGCCTCCCTATTGCTGGGGGGGGGGGGGGTCCCTGGAGGAGAAGGCGGAGGCCACACTCCCAACCCTTGGGAGGGCTTTCCTGAAAGACAAGGCTTTGGGGAAAGAGGCAAGTGGGTGGGCGGGTGTGGATGGGCTCTCCCTTCTCTCAACCAAAGCCCAGAGGGCACCCTCTTCCAATCTCCGGGGACTCCTCCCGTGCCACAGACATGAAACGCTTTTCCATGGGTGGTGGTCCTCCTCCTCTTCTTCCTCCTCATTCTGTGCTGGCCTAGCTCTGCCCCAGGTATTGTTGCTGATGGGCGGCCTCGTCGTCGTAGTCCATGATGCGCAGCTGCCCGCCTGTGCCACTGCCGTGGCCGCCCTCCTGGCCGGGGCTGAGCAGGAGGAGGGGGGGCTCTCCCTCGGGGGTCCGGGGGGACAGGGCGCCCTGCCCGCCAGAAGGGGGCCCCTTGCAAAGTTCGTTCTTGAGGGTCCCGCAGAGGCTGCTGAGGGGGGCCCGCGCCCCATTGCCCCCATGGCCCTCCTCCTCCTCCTCCTCAGCGTGGCCCTCACTTTTGTGCCGAAACAGCTCCCGTGCCTTCATGCCCAGGAAGCTCTCCGAGCTGGGAAAAGAGCCCACCGCCAGGCGCTGGGGCCGCCCTCCACCACCGCTCCCGTTGTTGCTCTCCCGCTTCTCCGGGGAGGCTCCCTCACTGCTGCCACCACCACCACCGCTACCGCCGCTGCCTCCGTGGCTCCAAGTGCTGGGAGGTTTGGTCTCGCCATTGCGCTCCAAGGCCTCTTCGCTGCGTCCCACCAGGAGAGGGTCTGCACCACCACCTTCCGATGGGCCGCTGAGCCTGAGAGGAAAGGAGAGAGGGTGAGGGAAGCGGCAAGGGCAGAAGCGGCTCAGACAGCATTGGGTCGGTCTCCAAAAGCCGATCTGAGTCTCCATACAGGGAGAAAAAGATGGATATACAAACACATTGTCTATATATACAGTGTTCCCTCCTCTTATCGCAGGTATTACATTCCAGGACTACCCGCGAAAAGTGAAAATCCGCGAAGTAGAAATTATAAGAGAATGTTTGTATGTGGAGGGCGGATGGGCATAGGGTGGATGTAGGGAGGGAGGTGCATGTGGCAGCTTTCTGATTGGCTCTCACTTTCACAGGCCACTACAACCTGCACGGGATCAAACTTGGCACACATAACCCCCACGACCCCCTTTACGTCCTGGTGAGGTTTGGGGGAAGATGGACAAAGGATGATGGGATTTGTAGTACTTTCAAACCCTTTAGTTCCCACAGACCACTGTGGCCCCCAACAAAGACCAATAAAGACCAAACTTGGCACACAGAGTCCCCATGACCCACATCCTACCACATCTACATCCTATTGCAGTTTGGAGGGCAGACCATGGATGATGAAACTTGAAGTACCTCCACTCACTTCCTGAGACTGCAGCAACCCTCATCCAATGACTGATCAAGACTAAACTTGGCACGCATAACCCCCATGACCCCCTTTAGGTCCTGGTGAAGTTTGGGCATGGACGGAAACTGGACAATGGGATTTGTAGTACTTTGTTGTGTAGTTCCCACAACAAAGACCGATTGTGTTGATGTGAATACTGTGCATCGCTGGGCGAGTTTCACGCGTCAGCATTTTGGGTACCAAACATGAACAGATCTTCTGATAGTAAAGCAATGCAATCATGTGGCCTACATGTTCTTGTGAAATGCTGATTATGCTTGAAATTTCTCTCTGAGTGATACGACGATCGTCCTGAATCAATCTGTCAACCTTTTGGTTGTGAAACTCAGTGGTTGCTGTCACAGGACGTCCAACTCTTTGTTTGTCATGTAGGTCAGATGTTCCTACCTCAACATCTTTAAACTTACTCGCCCAACGATGCACAGTACTCACATCAACACAATCACCATCAACAGCTTGCATTCTCTGATGAATCTCCTTTGGGGTGACACCTTCTGCTGTCCAGAATTCAATGACTGCAAGTTGCTGAAGTCGCATTGACCGACCATCTGTGCAGGGTTCCATACTTTGCATTTTAGCAACACAACCATTCAATGCTAAGGCTTCCCGCCAAAATGGAACTGTAGAGGAGAGTCTACTGAACAAGCCAGTACCTGCCGCATACCAGTACGGCCATCTGTTGAGGAGTTATGAAGGTGGAGTCATTACTTTTCATTCAACCCTCGTATACAGGGAAGGTTATATATCTACATCTCTAGAGACATCTGGTCTCTCTCCAGACTCACAGGAGAACAAGGACAAAACTGAGACTCGGGGGCTTGCGGGGCGGCTGGAAACTTGGAGAAGTATCACTCCAACAGACAGGAAAGAGCAGGAGGGAAAGATCGAGAGGAGCAAAACGGAGAGAGAGACAAGCCAGCCGAGTGATGCCCATTGTACCTTTCCTCTGCCGCCACTGTTACCGCTTCGCTTTCCATTTTGTTGCTGCCATCGCGCTTCTGCTGCAGCCCCGAGCTGTTTGCTAGCTGGCCATAGAGATCCAGGACCTCCAGCTCAAAGGCCTGCGTGACCTTCTTCTGGGCCTGGTACCGGGCCTCCACGGCCTGCAACTGACCCCTGCAAGGGAGGGAGGGAGGAGAGGCAGAGGATCATAGAACCATAGAGAGTTGGAAGGGACCTCCAAGGACCACCTAGTCCAACCCTCTTTATGCTTCCAGGCACGAAAAGCACAATCTAAACATTCCTGACAAATGGAAGCCGGTCTGAGTCCCTCTACACAGGTTGAGAAGATCGGGATATAAAAGTTTTAAATAAATGAAATAAAAGGAGAATCAGAGAATCACAGGATTGGAAGGGACCTCCAAGGGCCACCCAGTCCAACCCTCTTAATTCTGCCAGTCAGGAAAAGCACAATCAAAACACCCCTGACAGATGGCCACCCAGGCTCTCCTTAATAACAATTATAAGGATAGAAGTTGGAAGGGACCCCGTGGGCCATCTAGTCCAATCCCCTGCCATGCAGGAAAAGCACAATCAAAGCCCACCCTACAGATCATAGAATCATAAAATTCTAGAATCCTAGAGTGGGAAGAGACCTGGTGGGCCATCCAGTCCAACCCTATTTGGCCAAGAAGCAGGAATATTGCATTCAAAGGCACCCCCACCCCCTGATAGATGGCCATCCAGCCTCTGCTTAAAAATCTCCAAAGAAGGGAGCCTCCACTACACTCCGAGGCAGAGAGTTCCACTGCTGAACAGCTCTCACATCCAAGAAGTTCTTCTTCATGTTCAGGTGGAATCTCCTGAACATTAGGAAGAACTTCCTGACTGTGAAAGATGGCCATCTGGCCTTTGCAATAATAATAACAACAACAACAACAACAACAACAACCCCAGAAACCCCAGAGACCACCCATCCCAATCCCCTTAATTCCGCCATGCAGTAAAAGCACAATCTAAGCAGCCCCCAACAGATGGCCACCTAGTCTTTGTAATAAGAATAYTAATAACCGAAACCCAAGGGGCCACCCAGTTCAACCCCTTCTGTCTTCATGCAGGAAGATCACCAGCAAAGCCTGCCCCCCCCCCCGACAGATGGAAGGAAGGAGAATCATAGACTCCTAGAGTTGGGCCAACCCCATTCTGCCATGCAGGAAAAACACAATCAAAATATCCCTGATAGTTGGCCACCCAGCCTCTGCTTAAAAGRTTCCAAGGAAGGAGCTTCCATCACACTCCGAGGCAGAGAGTTCCACTGTTGAGCAGCTGTCCTTACAGCTAATGTTCAATGGAGTCTCCTTTCCTGTCATTTGAACCCATGGCTCCACTGAGTCCTAGTTTCCAGGGCAGCAGAAAGGAAGCCTGCTCCCTCTTCCTTAGGACAGCCTTTCACATATTGATACAACGCACCTCTAATGTCTCAACCTTCTCTTCTGAAGGCTAAACAGACCCAGCTCTTTAAGACGCTCCTCAGGGGGATTATTCATGGTCTCTAGACCTTGGAACTTTTCAGTTGCCCTCTTTCTCCGGGCTCCTTCCCGCTTAGGGTCAAACTCTCTTTTGAACTATTATTTTTATTATTATTAATGACATTTATATGCCGCCCTTCTCACCCCGAACGGGACTCAGAGCGGTTCACAAGATACACATGCATACAATATATTATATTATTAGCATAGCACAGTATTAGTATTATATATTACTATATTGTACTATATCATTGTACTGTAATATTATAAGTAATATTTCACATAATGTAAAATATATAATTATAATATATTATTATTAGTAGTATTATATTGTATTACATTACAATATTATAAACATTATATGTATATATTATTATATATTATATATTATATATTATGTGATGCGATGTGATGTTATATTATATTATATTATTAGCATAACACAGGAGACAAGATGGAACTGTCTTCCTGGGCCCCCTCTCTTCACTCTGGCCCCAGAGATGCCAAGAACTGGACACAGTGTGATTCCAGGGAAAGAGGTCTGCCCAAAGCAGAATACAGAGGCACCAAGACTTCTTCCCTCAGTCTGGACACGAGACTCCTTTGGATGTAGCCCAAAATCCCATTGGCTTTTTTGCGCCGCTGCCTCACACTCCACGCTCATGTTTACATTGTTCCCCATAAGGACCCAGTTGCCCTCGGGCGGCCTGTGTGGAAGGAGCTATCCCTCCCGGCAGCATCGCAAGCACCCCGACCGTGTTTCCCTTGCAGCCTGCCCAAGCCCCCGTGCGGCCCGCTACCTGGCCTTGAGCTTGACGTCCTCCAGGTACTTCTTCTGCTCCAGGAGGAGGTGGTCCCGCTTGGCCAGCTGGGCTTCCAGCTCCAGGTTGCGCTTCTGGGAGGCCTCCAACTGCTGGGCCTGTTGCAGGAGGCAGCCCTTGGCCCGCTCCTGCTCCTTTCGGAAGGCCGCCTGCATCAGTTCCACTTCCTAGCAGGAAAGGAAGAAGATGGTGGGCTCCAGCCTAGCGTCACCGCAACCCCGGCGACTCGTACTGTGAGAAATATCATGTGTGGCTTGAATAAAATGGTATGAAATTAGGATGACTGGGGCGTATATAAGGCTGAAGACACCATCCTAAGAATAACTGGGGTCTGGAAAATTACGGAAGGAGGTGAAGAACTGGGATAGAAAAGTTGCCGATGAGAACTACTGATGAATGATGAACTCTTGGTGGAAAACAACATGTTTACATTGCCAGAGACAATGGTCCTTTTAAGTGAAGGAAATCAAACACTGTGCTCTTTACTAGAGAAGGAAAGGTAACATCTGTCTGGAACTGATGCAGTCAGCTTGTCTTAGTTCAGGGGTCCCCAAACTATGGCCCGCGGGGCACTTCCGGCCCACCAAGGGCACTTATCCGGCCAGCGGAGGAGGAGTGCCCCCCCAAACAGTGCCCCTCCCTTGGCTGGCTCACGCTATCCGTCAGACCCGATGGGCAGCGTAAGCCAGCCAAGGGCAGCTGCTACACGTGGCCTACTCACGCGTAAAGGATCTCGCAAGGTGCTTTACGTGTGAGTAGGCCACGCGGGGCTGCTCCTCCCTTGGCAGGCTCACACTATCCATCGGGCCCAATGGGCAGTGTGAGCCAGTCAAGGGCAGCTGCTCCGCGTGGCCTACTCGCGCGTAAAGCACCTCGCGGGGCTGCTCCTCCCCTGGCAGGCTCCCCTGGCAGGCTCCTCCCCTGGCTCGGGCCTGATGGGCAGTGTGATGGCACACCAGGAAAATCTAAAGAGAAACCTAAATGTGTCTAGCTATTTTCCCAGTGACCATCGGTATGCCCTAAATACTATAATTCCCCCAAAATAAAACTCTATAAACAAGATTAAGTTTAACAATTGTTTACTAAATAATCAAGGTGAATTACAACAATGCACAAAGGTGAGAATTGATTATGATAATATAACTCTGAGGTAACAAATTACTATATCTATGAGGTAAATATAACTATACACTACAGGGGATGTATGACTATATAGACTATAGCATGTACAACTATGAACTCTGGGTTTGTATAACTATAAACTATCTATCTATAATCTATAAACTTTGGCATAAGTGTATTATTCATGAAACATGGCAAATACAACTATTTATGGAACGTATATTATAAACTTTAGGGCAAATACTATCTATTCTATGGCAAATACGTGATTAGGATGGCCTGTTCAAATTGCTAGGCCAGACCAGACACTATCTGGCAACTGTCAACAAGCTAAGACCAACAAAGAATGGGAAACGAAGTTCTATAACCAGCCCATTCTGGCTCTGAGTCAGAATGGGCTGCACCAACCGAACTCGGCCTCTAGGGGGAACCTAAGCTCTCCCCTAAACTTGGTAAAATGGAACAGTCCAACAGGCAACAAGGAAATAATACTAGGCCGAGACATCACAGGCAGCGTGAGCCAGCCAAGGGAGGCTGCCCTGGCGCTCCATGCAGTCATGCCAGCCACATGACCATGGAAGTGTCTATGGACAACGCCGGCTCTTTGACTTAGAAATGCAGATGAGCACCACACCCCAGAGTCAGACACAACTGGACTTCATGTCAGAGGAAAACCTTTAACTAGGAAAATTGTGGAAGATCCAGAGTGGGAGAAAGAACTCTTGTCTGTTGGAGGTAGGTATGAATGTTTCAATTGGCCACCTTGATTACCATTTCATAGCCTGACAGTTTTTAGGGAGAATCCTTTGTTGAGAGGTGATTAGCTGGCCCTGATTGTTTCTTGTCTGGACTTCCACTGTGTTTGAGTGTTGTTCTTTATTTATAGTTATAATTTTAGAGTTTTTTTTTAATACTGGTAGCCAGATTTTGTTCAGACTAGAAATAGGAAGATTTCCCATTCTCTGCTCCTGGAATTACTGCCTAAAGAGGGCTAGAAAGAACCCCCTCTAAGGGCCCTTCCACACAGCAAAATAAGATATGTGCAATGTGCATAGGAATTTTTTTATTGATTTTTTTTTAAAAAAAAAACTATAGTCCAGCCCTCCAACGGTCTGAGGGACAGTGAACTGGCCCCCGGTTTAAAAAGTTTGAGGACCCCTGTCTTAGTTGGACAAAACAACTTGTCAGTCATTTACAACTTTTTGGAACACCAGCAAATTGCTATATAAGGGACTTTTTACCATCCAAAACTGCAATGGAACGCAACCCGGCCAACGTGCGGGGTCTCTTCTCCAGGAGATGGAAGAAGGGATGGGAATGTACATTTGATGAATGAATGCATGTTTATATGTGTGTGAATGCCGAGTAAAATGGAATTAGCCCTCAATGTTTCCTGCAGCTATTTGTTTTTTTCCCCCTGGTGCAGGAGGTGGGCGGGGCCAAGGGAGTCATTTTCGTACCTTGTTTTATCATTTTGGGGTTTTAAAGTTCCTTTCACTGTTTCTGGTGTTGTTTTTTTTTTTTGAGTGATTGCCACTCATTGGGTTGTCAGGGGCATTGTGTCCAAATTTGGTGTCAATTCATCCAGTGGTTTTTGAGTTATGTTAATCCCACAAACAAACATTACATTTTTATTTATATAGATCAGAGGTTCTCAAACTAAGGCCCGGGGGCCAGATACGGCCCTCCAAGGTCATTTACCCGGCCCTCACTCAGGGTCAACCTAAGTTTGAAACGACTTGAAAGCACACAATAACAACAATCCTATCTGTCAGAGGTTTAACCCACTGCGCTATTGGGGGCTCCTTAAATAATAATAATAATAATAATAATAATAATAATAATAATAATAATACCTTGGTGGTGTCGGCATGCTTGTGCTGGAGCTGCTCCAAGTACAACTCGTTCACCTCCCCCAGGACCAGCAGCTGCCGGTTCAGGAACTCCATCTGCTGCTGGACTGATTCGCTGTTGGATAGCTGAGAGGAGAAAAGATTGATAGATCTGTTTATTGATTTGCCCACTGACCATTATCAACAATAAACAACCAAAATACACAGACAAACAGATACTCATCACTCTGCTAAAACTCCTGTAACAGAGGACTAAAATAAACCGCTTTGAGTCCCCCTAGGGGTGAGAAAAGCGGTATATAAATACTGTAAATAAATAAATAAATAAAAACTTGAGTCAATAATATATTGTGGTAAAATGGGATTAAATGACAAGAGGAAAGGATTTCCTCATTGAGGACTATAATTTATTTATTTATTTACCCCATTTATACCTGCCTTTCTCAATCCCGTAGGGAACTCAAGGCGGCTTACATGTATAGGCAATGAATCAATGCCATGTAAACATACATATACATTGTTCCCTCACTACTTCATGGTTTGCTTTTTGCGGACTCTCTGTTTTGCGGTTTAAAAAAATGAATTTAAAATATACAAGTACAAGGAGCAAGAGAACACTGAGCAGAAAGGCCCCACCAATGCGCTCTGGATGCAGATCTGGTGGTGGCAGTTGCGGCATAGTCTCAGACTCCTCACCCTCTTTACCTTCATCCTCCTTGGCGCCTCCCTTCCCACCGATTGAGTGTGAGAGAGAGAGAGAGAGAGAGAGGCACCTCATCATTGCCTGGGCCTCTTGCCAATGCTTGGGCCCCGTGACGCTGGTAGCAAGAGGCCCAGGCGATGACAAGGTGCCCCCCTCTCTCTCTATAACTCTCACTCACCCAATGGGCTCTTCTTCTTCCCTCTAAGGGCAGCTCTTCTTCCCTCCTCACCCTCTTTACCTTCCTCCTCTGGGTGTTATGTTATCACGGGTGTTACATTCCAGGACAATCTGCATAAATTCCGTGAAGTTGGGACGCCCCCTCCTCTCTCTCTCACTCTTTCACTCACTCCTTGACCTCTTTATTTATTTATTTATTTATTTATTTATTTATTTATTTATTTATTTATTATTCGAACTTATATGCCGCCACTCCCCTGGGGCTTACAAGAACAGAATCGAACACAATTTAAAAACAATTTAAAACAATTTAAAAGCAGCAATATCAGAGACCAAAGGCCCGTCGAAACAGGTATGTCTTACATGCCCTGCGGAAAGCTGGTAAGTCCCGCAAGGCACGGACTTCAGGTGGCAGAGTATTCCAGAGTGATGGTGCCACTGCTGTGAAGGCTCTGCGTCTGGTTGCTGTTAGACGCAAGGTCTCGACACTGGGAATTTCCAATAGATCTTGGTCCTCAGAACGGAGGGATCTCTGGGGTTGGTAGGGGGTGAGGCGGTCCCTCAGGTACATCGGCCCCAGACCATGCAAGGCCTTAAAGGTGAGTACCATCACTTTGAAAGTGATCCGGTGCTCAATTGGTAACCAATGCAGCTGTAGTAAGATTGGTGTTATGTGACATCTCATCGGAATTCCCGCAAGAAGCCGAGCAGCTGCGTTTTGTACCAACTTGAGCTTCCGGATCACCGACAGAGGGAGGCCAATGTAGAGGGCGTTACAGTAGTCCAGTCTTGAGATGACCGTAGCCTGGATCACCGTAGCTAGGTCGTCCCTGGACAGGGAGGGGGCCAGCCGTCTAGCCTGCCGCAGATGAAAAAAGGCGGTTTTGCTAACGGCGGAGACCTGGGCCTCCATCGTCAGCAGAGGGTCCAAAAGGACTCCCAGACTCTTTACCAATGATGACGGGCGTAGCGCCTCGCCATCCAGGGTAGGCAGCTGGATATCCCCACTGCCCGGTCGACCCAGCCATAGGATCTCCGTCTTTGCTGGATTCACCCTCAACCTGCTGGCACGCAGCCATCCAGTAACGGCCTCGAGGCACTGATGGAAACAATCGGGTACAGAGTCCGGTCGGCCTTCCATCTTCAGCACCAGCTGAGTGTCATCGGCGTACTGATAACACTCAAGCCCAAAACCTCGAACCAGCTGAGCAAGTGGTCGCATATAGATGTTAAATAACAGAGGGGAGAGAATGGCCCCCTGAGGAACCCCACAAGATAGAGGGGACCTCTCAGAGACCAGGCCTCCCCTCTCCACTCGCTGTCCACGGTTGTGAAGAAAGGAGGACATAGCCAGTTTAAAGCTGTCCCCCTGACTCCAGCAACAGCAAGGCGGTGGGTCAAAAGATTGTCGGTCGACTGTGTCAAATGCTGCTGTGAGATCCAATAACACAAGCAGCGCTGACCCGCCCTGGTCAAGCTGGCATCGAAGGTGATCCGTGATGGAGACCAGCACAGTCTCTGTCCCGTGCCCCGCACGGAAGCTGGACTGGAAGAGATCTAGTCCGGCTGTGTCGTCTAGGAATTGCTGCAACTGCTCCGCTGCTGCCCCCTTTACCTTCCTTCTCCTCCTCCTCGGCACTTCCCTACCCGCCAACAGGCCTGGCCCGGGCGCTGCGGCCTGGCCCAGGCGCTGCGAGGAGACACCTCGTCGCCACTGGGCCTCTTGCCGCCACTTGGGCCCTGAGACACCTCTGCCACCTCCTCAATCGCTCTAGAAGCGGTGCCTCCTCTGCCAGGAATATCCGCTTCTGGAGCGACTGAGAAGGCAGCGGAGGCATTGCGGGGCGCAAGTGGCGGCAAGAAGCCCAGGCGCCGATGAGGTGCCTCAACTGCCGCTTCTGGAGCAACAGCAGCCGCAGCACCCAGGCCAGGCCTGTTGGCGGGAAGGGGGGTGCCGATGAGGAGGAAGGTAAAGAGGGCAAGGAGGGGGGGGGGAGGAGATGTCCCTACTTCGCAGAATTTCACTTATCACAGGTGGTCCTGGAACACAACACCCGCAATAAGTGAGGGAGCACTGTGTAGTAAAATAAACAACCAAAGAAACAAACAAACTGGGACGCAGTAAAATACTATTTTAAACAATGGAAAATAGAAATCATTACTTTAAAAGAGTAAGGAGAAAATAGAGGCGAAGAAGATAACTCTTTAACACAGGTAGCTTGAAGAAAGAAGGCTTTAAAGACCACCAAAGACTAAATGGAAGTCAACTTTTTATTTTTTCATTTCTTATTTTTTACTATTTCTACTATTTCCATTTCTAGGTTTTTTATTATACATATATATATACACACACACACACACACACACATACACCGACATATAAATCGACTGGGCGTATAAGATGACCCCCAACTTTTCCAGTTAAAATATAGAGTTTGGGATATATTTGCCGTATAAGACTACCCCTCTTACAACGCACAACAAATAAAAATTGAAAAAGCATCAGATTTGATTTCAATATGGTAATTTTCCTATTACTGTACCTCCTTCTCTGCCTCTCAGATCTCGCACATGCACACCTGCACCACTTCACTGCAGTCTTCAGGAGCGAGATCTGAGAGGCAGAGGAGGAGGTATGGTAATAGGATACAAGGGTGGGCCAGACAGGTAAAAGAGGTGTGTTTTTCTGGGCCCAGAGCCCCTCTATCTCTTTTTTCCATACCCCGGGCGCCCCGGAAGCCTGCAGCTTGCTCTGCCCTTCACTTACACCTTCCCGGTGAGGCGCCCCTTCACCTCACCATCGGGACTGCATTAAGTCCACGAATCCTGATGAATGGATTTTCTTCTACCATACTTGTACAGCGTCACCCTTAATGCTTTCATACAGTTGCTGCGTACGACAGGGACACGGCCATTACCATTTTTGAGCTTCCCCCACCATATGCGGCAACTACAGATTCTCCACTTGGAAGTTTCAGCACCCGCTCTATAAGACTCCCGTGTATAAGACTACTCCCGCGCACAAGACTATTCCCGCGTATAAGACGACCCCTGACTTTTGAGAAGATTTTCTTGGGTTAAAAAGTAGTCTTATACACCAGAATATACGGTATATATATTCCTTTGGTTCTCTTTTCTTCTTCGCATCCTATCTTTCTTATTCCCAGTTTCCTATTCAAAATGAAAATGTTCTAACACTTTCGATGTAAAAGCCTTTCCTCTTAAGTTTTTAAAATCTTATTAAAACTTTAATAATAAGAAGATAAACAGACATATCAAACTTTAAAACAGTATTTAAAATCACATTATCTGAAATCATAGTCTACGGCTGTGACGATGTGTAAGTTTTATTTCTTTGGTTATGTGTAGTTTGGACAGTGGTTTAGGGATGGTAAGTATGGGAGGTTATGTTTTGTGGGAGATGGTGGCTTGGCGTTAGCTGAGTTGCCATAGCAACAGGGGCGGAGCCAACTGCCTCTTCAGGAGGCAGCTGTTTTAAAAAGTTAGTCAGTGGCCGGAGAGCTACTGAGAGGACTGAGTTTCTGGGTGGAGATTCAGGGAATGTGTCTGTAGCCGGTGTGCTATAGGAAAGACTGGATCTCAGAGTGGAGATTCAGGGAATCAATTGGTGACCAAAGTGATTGCAGAGAAGGATCTGGTAGTGAGAGAGCTACAGGGGGTTGTTGATTCTGAATTAAGAATCAAGGTTTGGCTAGGTTTAAGCCTGTTGTACCTGCTGTGAAACGTTTTAAAGTCTGTGCCTGAGATTACTCATGAAACCTTTCCAATGTAACCATCAAGATTTGTGCTTCTTTTGAAGAAACAGTTAAACATGTTATACTCCTGTTAAAATAAACTGTTTTCCTCAAGCCTTGCCTGATACAGTTTCTCCTAAGTTGAACAGCCTGCAATAGTAAAGTCAGCCAGAAACAGTAAACGCTACGCTATTTAATGAACAAAGCCTTCTGTAATTCACAGTCCCTTTATAAAATAGCTCCTAGGTTGATATTGATCGTTGCCCGGCTTCCCTCATAGATTAGGTGGCAGTGGGTGTTTTACCACGTGCACCTTCACATTTGGTGGCAGCAGTTTAACAACACCTTCACAATTGGTGGCATTCGGTGGCATTAAAACGGTCATCTTCACAACGGCCATTCCAAATTGTCACTGCACTACACCACGTGGTCAGGACGTGGCTGCCCATGTCCTTCCTTACCTTCTGAGAGACCTGGCTGAGCAGCAGCTCCGTGTGGCAGACCTTGTTGCTGGCCTTCTTGAGCTCCAGCTGCAGATCCCCAATGACGGTGTGGCAGTCCTCCAGCTTGGTCTGCGGGAGAAGCCATGTCATCAGGCGTATATACACACATACACACAGCCTTTATGGGCATACACCAATAACATCACAACATAGTTATATTACGTACAACAAGAGGAAGTCACGGGGTAAAATGAAAACATGTTTAAAAGTTACTAAACTCAATGATAACATTTGCAACAGTCTCACCAAAGAATGCATCAGGGGTGTGGGATTTGATGACGCCCTTGCTCTTGAGAAAACCGTGAAAAAACAGAATTCCTGTATTTCATCCGTATAGGATCGTATTTAGGGCATACAAACAAAGCATGGTGAAGTGCTTCAACAGAAACCAAGTCGCAAGAACAAACCCTTTTGGAACGTTCCAGGTTTCTCTATCACCCTCCAAAAGGGCAGATGATGGCAACACTGCATCTTGCAATAGCCAACGCTCTCCTCTGGGTGGAATGGATCAAAATGCGGAGATAAGCATGGAATCAACGGCGTGGTGGGGGAACAAGCTGTCTTGGCTGCAAGAGTCAGATTATGAGGGAAGCCAAGATCCAAAAGCCTGCTCTTGACTGACCTGCAGGCTGTTGGAACGTTGGTTTAAACGTAATGAAATATTGTTTGTAGTTTAAACTCTGTGTGTGATGTAGTTATGTAATGCAGTGTAAGGGTTAAATGCACAGAGCTGTGCTTAATGCCTAGAGTGTAACTTTGGAGAGTTCCTGTTACGTGATGCATCCCAGAGAATCAGAAAAGCATGTGTTCTCTTCCAACGATGTACAGCTAGAAGGAAAGATATGTCTTTTACTACTCCTGTACAGTCTGTAGTTTTAATAATCTATATAAATAAAAATGTAATGTTCGTTTGTGGGATTAACATAACTCAAAAACCACTGGATGAATTGCCACCAAATTTGAACACAACACACCTACTAACCCAAGGAGTGACCATCACTCAAAAAATTATGATTTTGTCATTTGGGAGTTGTAGTTGCTGGGATTTATAGTTTACTTACAATCAAAGAGCATTCTGAACTCCACCAATGATGGAATTGAACCAAACGTGGCACACAGGACTCCCATGACCAACAGAAAACACTAGAAGGGTTTGGTGGGCTTTGACCTTGAGTTTGGGAGTTGTAGTTCACCTACAACCAGAGAGCACTGCGGACTCAAACAATGATGGATCTGGACCAAACTTGGCACGAATAATGAATATGCCCAAATATGAACACAGCTGGAGTTTGGGAGAACTAGACCTTGACATTTGGCAGTTGTAGTTACTTAGATTTATAGTTCACCAACAATCAAAGAGCATTCTGAACCCCACCAACGACAGAATTGGGACAAATTTCCCACACAGAACCCCCATGACCAACAGACACAGGCTTCCGCTTTTTGGCAAAAATGAGAACTTTGGATCGACCACAGCTAGTTTGGGGAAGCCCATCCCCAGCTCCATCGTCCCCAAAGGAGAAGGGCTTCTTGACTGAAGTACAGCCTGCTGGCCTACCTTCCGCTCCTGGCTCTGCCCGTAGTACTCCTGGCGCTCCTGCTGCAGCTGGCGGATCTGGCCCTGGAGCTGGGCCACAGCGCTGGCATTCTCCTCCTGGGAGAGCCGGGCCTTGGCCTGCTCCTTCTGCAGGCTCAGCTTCAGCGCCTGGATGTCCTTCTCCTGCAGGCGCAGCTGGTCTTTCTGTCCGGAAGCAGAGACCCCACGTCAAGGCCCCTGGAAACCCATGGACATAGCAACCAACTCCCTTCTATCTATCTACTTTCCTGTAATCTATTCATCCATCCATCTTTTTTATCTATCTTCTTGTAGATCTATCTATCCATCTTATCTATCCATCCATCCATCCATCCATCTATCTTCCTGTAGAACTATCTATCTATCTTTTTTATGTATTTATCTTCTTGTATTTATCCATCCTTAACTTCCACCATTCCATCCTTCCTTCCTTCCTTTCTTTCTCCTCCTTCTTCTATCTTCTATCTATCTATCTATCTATCTATCTATCTATCTTCCTGTAGTTCTATCTATCCATCCTATCTGTCTGTCTGTCTGTCTGTCTAACTATCTATCTATCTATCTATCTATCTATCTATCTATCTATCTATCTATCTTCCCGTAGATCTATCCATCCATCCCTTTTTATCTATCTATCTTCTTGTAGATCTATCCATCCTATCTATCTATCTATCTATCTATCTATCTATCTATCTATCTATCTTTCTTTCTTTCTTTCTTTCTTTCTTTCTTTCTTTCTATCTATCTATCTATCTATCTATCTATCTATCTATCTATCTATCTTCCCGTAGATCTATCCATCCATCCCTTTTTATCTATCTATCTTCTTGTAGATCTATCCATCCTATCTATCTATCTATCTATCTATCTATCTATCTATCTATCTATCTATCTATCTATCTATCTTTTCTTCCTGTAGAACTATCTATCTTTTTATCTATCTTTTTATGTGTTTATCTTCTTGTAGGTCTATCTATCCATCCTATCTATCTATCTATCTATCTATCTATCTATCTATCGATCTTCCTGTAGTTCTGTCTGTCTGTCTGTCTCTATGTCTAACTATCTATCTATCATCTATCTATCTATCTATCTATCTATCTATCTATCTTCCCGTAGATCTATCCATCCATCCCTTTTTATCTATCTATCTTCTTGTAGATCTATCCATCCTATCTATCTATCTATCTATCTATCTATCTATCTATCTATCTATCTATCTATCTATTCTTCCTGTAGATAGATCTATCTATCCACCCACCCATTCATCTTTTTATCTATCTATCTATCTATCTATCTATCTATCTATCTATCTATCTATCTATCTATCTATCTATCTATCTTCTTGTAGATCTATCCATCCTATCTGTCTGTCTGCCTGTCTGTCTGCCTATCTATCATTCCAGGACCACCTGCGATAAGTGATAATCCGCAAAGTAGGGACACTATATTAATTTTAATATTTATACATTATTTTAGCATACCTCAGAAAGGGAGGCTGGTGTGCGCACCAGAACTCCCTTCACCGGCTCCACTTGCCCTCTCGCGACTTGGCGGGCTTGTGCAGCCCCTCCTCCTGGCCCATCCTGACACTGTCTGCCTGCCTCCTTGGCCTCCAGAGCTACGCAGGCAGCAGCAGTCAGACCTTCCCTCCCTGGGGTCTGCGGAGGTCAGGGAGGCAGGACTTCCCCGCCGCGCCTCAAGCCGCTGCACTTCCGGGGTCCTGAGCCGCGGAGGGGAAGGCTTGCTTCCCTGGCCTCTGTGGACCCCAGAAGCCTCCGGAGCCATGCAGGCAGCAGGCAGGCCCTCCCCACCGCGCCTCAGGACCCCAGAAGTGCGGGGAAGACCTGCCTCCCTGGCCTCTGCAAACCCCGACAGAAAGGCAGCCTAAGGTGCGGGAAGGCAGGTGCCTTCGGGAAGGAGCAGCCACACAATTGCTCCAAGTTGCGGGAGGGCAAGCGGAGCCACGGAGAGAGTTCCAGGCCACACACCAGCCTCCCTTTCTGAGGCCCTTTGTAATGTACATAAATATTTTATATTTTAGATTAATATTTACAGAAATCCGCAAAACAGTAAGTCTGCGTAAACCGAACCATGAAGTAGTGAGGGAACACTGTAGTTTTCTCACCCCTCGGGGTGAGAAAAATGGTATACAAATACTGTAAATAAATAAATAGTTTTATTGTCGTGGTGCTATTGCACAACGAAATTCAATACCTTCCCCAGCACACACCACAAAACAACACACCCATCCCTCCACATTCTAATCGCCATGGCATATCCCCCAATGCCACACCAATGGGATGCCATGGAGTTCAATATCGCCACAGCTCTAGGATAAAAACCAGTATGGGCCAACTTGGGCTCTCCCTCCAGGTGTTTTGGACTTCAACTCCCACCATTCCTAACAGCCTCAGGCCCTTTCCTTTTCCCCCTCAGCCACACAAGCGTTTGACCCAGCCAGTTCTCTCACCCACCATGGCGGCATTGTGTTCTTCCAGGGCAGCGGCCTTGATGACTTTCCGCAGGAGGCGCCGGTTGCGCAAGGCATGCTGCTGCCGCTTGAAGCGTTCGTACAGGAGCTGGTTGTGCAGCAGCCGCAACTGGTTGCGCAGCGTGTGGATCTCGTCTGAGGGAGGGGAACCTGCGCAGAAGGAACGGAGGAACATGTCACAGCCAAATTTAACTAAGGGGGGGGGGGGGTCAGGGGAAATTGACCCTGGAGGATGGGAATTTTAGTTCACCCACAACCAAAGAACACTGTGAACCCCACAAATGGGGCCATCTAATGGGGCCATTCATACCATCAAATAACAAACCAGTGTCTGTGCCTAATAAGCAACGATACAAAAGACCAAACCCAAGCTAGGTTTCCATCACAAGCTCAAAACAACCCGAAAGTTCCAGGTCTCCCCAAGTTGAAAATCTTCTCACTTAATCATGATCTGATTATTGTTATTTTTTTTATTGTTATCTGATTATTGGAAGTTTGTTTTTACGTTTTATTTTCTTTTTTTCCCCTCTTTCCCTCTTTCTATCTCCTTTCTGACTTTCCTTAATGGATTGTCCCCACTCTTTTTATGTAAAACAATGGAAAAATAAGATGTGTAACAGTTTTTCTCTTTAAGCTCCTACTCCTGAGGAGCGAGTTGTATTCTCAATAAAGATATATATCAAAACAAAACAACCCGAAAGGAACAAAGCGGCCCTTTTCTTCTGGGCCAAGAATGAAAAGAGTTTCTGTTTACCTCCAAAGTGAGTCCAGTCAGCGGATTTACTCGGCAAGGGTAGCCTGAAAACAAGCAAACGAAGGGAATGATGATTTATGCTGGACGGCAAGGCAGCCCTTGAGCAACAACAAATACATCTATCCACCCACCCACCTATCTATCAATCTTCCTGTAGATCTATCTATCCATCTATCCATCATGTCTGTCCATCCATCCGTCCGTCCGTCTGTCTGTCTATCTATCTGTCTTCCTGTACCTCTATCCATCCATCCATCCAGCTAACTTTTTATCTAGCTATCTTCCTGTAGATCCATCCATCCATCTTTTTATCTATCTTCCTGTAGATATATCTATCCAATCAATCTATCTATCTATCTATCTATCTATCTATCTATCTAGCATCTATCTGAAAATCTATCCATCTTCCTGTAGATCTAGTTATCCATCCATCTTTTTTATCCACCTTCTTGTAGATCTATCCATCCATCTATCTATCCATTCACCCATCAATCCATCCATCCATCTTTTTATCTATCTTCCTGTAGATCCACCCATCCATCCATTCATCCATCTATCCATCTTATCTATCTTATCTATTGATCGATCTGTCTATCTATCTATCTATCTTCCTGTAGATCTATCCATCCATCCATTTATCTTTTTATCTAGCTATCTTCTTGCAGATCCATCCATCCATCCATCCATCCATCCATCTTTTTATCTATCTTCCTGTAGATCCATCTGTCTATCTATCCATCCATCTTTCTATCTACCTGTAGATCTATCCATCTATCCATCCTATCTATCTGTCTGTCTGTCTGTCTATCTATCTTCCTGTAGATCTATCCATCCATCCATCTTTTTATCTGTCTATCTTCCTGTAGATCTATCTATCTATCTATCTATCTATCTATCTATCTATCATCCATCCATCCATCCATCCATCCATCCATCTATCTTTTTATCTACCTTCCGGTAGATCTAGCCATCCATCCACCCAACACCCACCCATCTATCTGTCTGTCTGTCTGTCTATCTTCCTGTAGATCTATCCATCGATCCATCTTTTTATCTATCTATCTTCCTGTAAGATCTATCTATCTATCCATCCATCTATCTTTTTATCTATCTTATGGTAGATCTATCCATCCATCCATTATTATTATTATTATTATTATTATTATTATTATTATTATCCATCTTTTTATCTATCTTCCTGTACATCTATCCATCCATCCATCTTTCTGTAGATAGATCTATCTATCTATCTATCTATCTATCTATCTATCTATCTATCTATCTATATCTATCCATCTTCCTATCTATCCATCTATCTATCTATCCGTCGACCCCAAGTTACAGACATCCGACCTGCATCAAGTTAGGAATTGTGAGAGTTGAAGTCCAAAACACCTGGAGGGCTGAAGTTGGCCCAGGCCTGCTGCATATCACAAAGGCGTTCTCCCCTGGAGGGCAACTTACTTGTTGAGCTCCCTGCTGTGGGCGTCTGCTCCGTACTGGAGGAGGCGGTCCAGCACTTCCAGGGGAGAGGCCGGAGAGCAGCGCCCTTCCTCCTGCTGTAGTCCTCCTCCTCCTCGGGCCTTCCTCAGCAGCTCCTCCGTCTTCCTGCCCACAAACAGGTAGGCCGTCTTGGGCAGGGCCACCTCAAAGAGATGCTCGTAGCGCGAGGGCCCCTCACAGCCGGGCCCGGCTCCCTTGCAAGGGCTGGGGGTCAGCAGGCCGGGCTCCAGGGGCACTGACAAGGCGGCCGTGGTGCCACTCTCACGGCTCCCTGAGTTGCATGAGGGCCGCTCGATGGGGGTGAAGCTCTGCTTCGGCGCCTCCTGGGAGTTGGTCTCGGGCCCAAATTGGTCCAGAAACGATGACAAGAGCGGCGGCAAGGGCTCCGAGTTCAGGGCCACCCCCTGTGCACTGGAGTTGGCTGACTGGGTCTTCTTGGAGCTGGAAAGACTTTCGCCCCACTGGAAAAAGGGAGAGTCAAAGCCACCCCGCGGCACCAGGGGCTCCGCATCTGCAGTGGTGATCTCCGAGATCTCTTTTGAGATGGCATCTGGAAAATTTGGAAAATTGGGATTTTTTTGTACTATTTTCAATAGAAAACATGTTATAAAATGTTCTGCAGATGTTATAGGACTCCTGAGGCCATCAGCAAAATAGATAAATCCCACCTTGGGACACATGCTGGAGATGCCAAATCCACGCTTGGTGGACCTACTGTAGGCGGATACAAACTTTCTGGGGAAAGGCAATCAAGAAAGCAAACAAAATAATCACTATATAGGTTAAGAAAAACCCAGATTTATTTGGAGAAGAGAAAAAGTGGGGGGTAAATAAACATAATAATACTAATAGTAGACACATAGCTGGGTCTCTTTGTGGGGAGCTAAAGCAGGGTATAAATAAACATAATAATAAACATAATAATAATAATAATAATAATAATAATAATAATAATAGATATGTAGCTGCTTTGAATCTCCTTCGGGAGAGATAAAGCAGTGTATAAATAAACATAATAATAATAAAAATAATAATACTACATTTAGTACCAATAAGAGATACATAGCCGCTTTGAGTCTCCTTGTAGAGAGAAAAAGCAGGATAGAAATAACCATAATAATAATAAGACATTCTAATAATAGATACATATATCCGCTTTTAGTCTCCTTGTGGAGAGATAAAGTGGGGTGTAAATAAACATAATAATAAACATAATAATAATAATATATGTATATATCTGCTTATAGTCTCCTTGTGGAGAGATATAGTGAGGTGTAAATAAACATAATAAATATAATAATAATAATAATAATAATAATAATAATAAATATAATAATAGATACATATATCTGCTTTTAGTCTTCTTATGGAGAGATAAAGTGGGGTGTAAATAAACATAATAATAAATATAATAACAGATGCATATATCTGCTTTTAGTCTCCTTGTGGAGGGATAAAGTAGGGTGTAAATAAACATAATAATAAATATAATAATAGATACATATATATGCTTTTAGTCTCCTTGTGGAGAGGTAAATAAATAGAATAATAAATACAATAATAAATAGAATAATTATAATAGATGCATATATCTGCTTTGAGTCTCCTTGTGGAGAGATAAAGTGGGATGTAAAATAAACATAATAATAAACATAATACTAATATTAATACAAATAATAATAAATTTAATAATATATTAATATATCTGCTTTGAGTCTCCTTATGGAAAGAGAAGTAGGGAATATATAAACATCACAATAATACGAATACTACTACTACTACTAATAATAATAATATTTTCCTCTCGGTCGTTCTCAGAGATCAGCCCTGAGGTAATTACCTTTGAGCTGCTTTGAGTCTCCTTGTGTAGAGAGAAGTAGGATATAAATAAACATCATCATAATAGTAGTAGTAGAGTAGTAGCAGTAATAATACTACCTTCCTCTCGGTCCTTCTCACCACTGTCTTCAAAAGAGCCGTCCAGTTCTCCTAAGATGCTGGGGAGGTCACTCAATGTGACTGAACTTTTGCTGCCTTGGGAGTCTGAGGAGGAAAGAGGAAGGGAGGGGTCAGGTGGATCTTGTTTTATGCATTTACTCAAGTCCAAGGCTCAACCTTTTTAGGCTAAATGGCCCGGCCCAAATGAAGGTGTGCATTAGATTTGCGTCATATGGTCATCTTAGCGCTGAGCCAAAGGCAAAGGGGAAGCTGCTTCCGGAGCTCCTCTTTGACAGACCTCACTTCTCAATGGTATGGGATGTTGGGATTTGTAGCTTGAAGCAGCAAGAGAGGGCTCAAGGCCTTGTCAAACTACATCCCTCATAACTCCATAACATTGAACCCGGCAGCTAAAGTGTATTCATTCTACAGCAGAGATGCATTCAAGGTTTTCCTTTCCTTTTTTTGCTTTCAGGGTTTTGAAAATCGAGGTGCACATTAGATTTGATGGCACGTGAGACTCAAGGAAATACAAGTAAAATCTCTTATCTCTAAAATCTCTCTAATGATGTTGCAACCCACATCCAGTGCAGGGAGGGCTGGGTAATATACTGATGATCATTATCCTTATTACAATGCCCCTGCAGCATCACTTGAGCACTAACCAGAAATGGAAGGGATCTTGTTGTTGGAAGGAAGCTCTGCGATGAAACTTACCGAATGTTCTCAGGCTGTTAATGTTTTGCTGCCGGGATAAGGAGGGCCTCCCAGGATCCGTCCTTTCCTCCTAGAAAAGTGTAGTTTGGATATGTATTGATTGATTTTAATGTATTCATACCCATGACATTTAATCCTGCTTTAATGTTTGTAATAATTTTAATTGTTTTTAATGTAAGCCACTTTTAAGTTTCCTTGTGGAGAAAAAAGCGGGGTATAAATAATAATAACAAAACAATACTAAGTATTATTATAGATAATTATTATATATTATATTATATATAAGAATGTGCAAGGAAGCTAATGAAACCATGGACCATATCCTCAGTTGCGGGAAGAAAATCGCACAGACTACAAACAGAGGTACAACTCTGTGGCCCAAATGATTCATTGGAACTTGTGTCACAAGGACCACCTGCCAGGAGTCAAGAACTGGCAAAGGGATCATAAACTGCAAAGATAGTGGAAAATTAACATGCAAAAATACTGTGGGACTTTCAAATCCAGACTGAAAAAGCTTTGGAACACAATACACCAGACATCATGATTGTGGAAAAGAAAAAAGTTTGAATGATTGATGTCGCCATTCCAGGTAACAGTCGCATTGAGGAAACAGGAAAAACTCAAGACCTCAAAATCGAAGTGCAAAGGCCCTGGCATAAACCAGTCCGGGTGGTCCCAGTGGCCATCGGCACACTGGGTGCCATGCCAAAAGATCTCAGCCGGCATTTGGAAACAATAAACATTGACGAAATCACGATCTGTCAAGTGCAAAAAGCCACCTTACTTGGATCTGCGCGTATCATTCGAAAATACATCACACATTCCTAGGAGCTTGGAAAGTGTTCGACTTGTGATTTTGTTATTCGAAATCCAGCATATAGATCTCGTTTGCTGTGACATACTGTGTTTTTGTGTCAATAAAATAATAATAATAATAATAATAATAAGAAGAAGAAGAAGAAGAAGAAGAAGAAGTTTCACCGAGGGGCTCCTCCTCCACTCCAAGCCCATCTCAGCTGTCAATGCGACGGCAGCGGAGGAGATGATATACTCACCAGACCGCTGCATCGCCATCACCCCCTCCTCCTCCGCTGCCGCCACAGTGACAGCTGAAGTGGGCCTGGAATGGAAGAGCCCCTTGGTAAAGCTGAAAAGTTGGGGGGTCGTCTTATGCGCCCAGTCGGCTAGTACGCTGGAAAATACGGTAAGTGGGACTGGCCAAGGAAGCTGTGTTACGCCCATGTGACAGGAATGACCAGTTCCACGTCATATACTTTGTCCCCGGGCATGTGTTGGATTATATAGGAGAAGGGAGCCATGTGCTCATTCTCTCTCATCTACTACATCTTGGCTCTTGCATCGCAATCTCCGTTCTATGTCACTGATATAAGATTGTGAGTAAGACCGGAGCTGTAGCCGGGGAGGGGGGGTAGGGGTTCAACACCCCCCCCCCCAAAAAAACTGGTTTACTCATGAATTTTAACTGGTTAACCAAATCCCCATGAGATGAGGATGAGATGAGATCCCCTATGAGATGCAAAAAATTAAGAGTCCCTCCAGAACTGCAAACACTATCTCAAGCAAATATTGACAATTTATTCACACTGTCATTACTTGCAGCAATAGCCGATTTAGCAAAGCAATCAAGTTGAGGGGGGTGGGGTGTTGAATGCTCTCACTAAGGAGGCCAGACTTGGTGGAGGTGGTTGACAGGGGCGGAGCTGCAGGTTATTGAAGGCTGCTCTGCCCCCTGATGTGCTCTTTGCTTCAGTGTGAGCTAGGAGGCAGGTTTCAACTCCCCCCCTGAAATTTTCAACCCCCTTCCCCCCCAAAAGTTTTTTCTGGCTAAGGCCCTGAATAAGACTGATGGTTTTATGATAGACTGTACATACAGAACAAGTCAATAATACAAAGCCTTCAAGTATTTTGAACGAAACTGAAAGTTCCGGAGTCTAATTAACTCCAACACAGACAAAAAGGAAAAAATCACATTTACTGTAGCATTCACTCCTAATCCATTCATTCAATCATTCATACTCGCCGTCCTCCTTCATTCTGTCCACCTTGGAAAGAGGCGGGTGTTCAGACTCTGTATTCATCGCAGATCGGGCACACTTGTCTAAGAGAAAAGGGTCTCCTTATGTAGAACTTTCTGCTGTTGTTGTTTATTGTTATTTTTGTGATTTCTGATGAAGCCAACCCATGCTGACATTCACAACAAGGCGGCTGACAGTGAAGGGGATTAGGAGGCCGGTTCATGCAAATCTACCTGGAAACATGGAGATTCTCCCTCCCAAGAGAGCAGGCCCAATCCCACACTTCTTTCCCATTTGCCCCATTGAGGCCCCAAAGACCCGGCCTTACCTTCTTGTGAGCTGAAGCTGTATTCGGGGGAACGGAGCCCTGAAGAGATTCCTCCGAAATGCACGACGACGAGGACGGCGGAGGTGGGGAGGTGGCCGGTGTTCCCAGTGGAGTCCCTTTTCCAACCGCTAAGCCAAGCAGAGGAAAGTTTGTTTTTGTTATTATTATTATATTATATTTATACACCGCTTTATCTCTCTCGAAGGTGGTTATTCCCGTGTGAACAAGGCCTTCTCTCTCACCCAGAGGCCTCATCTAATTCCCATGGCTGTGTAGAACAGAGCTTTCCAAACCAGCATTTCGCCTGAAATATGCTCCTCCCCTTCTCCTCCTGCCACTGGGAGAGACCTCCAAAAGGCATGTAGTCCAACCTTCAGTTAGACACAGTTAAAGTCCTCCCAACAGACAACCTTCCAGTTCAAAAACCTCCCGAGAAGAAGGCTCCACTGGACTCCCAGGCATGTTATATTTCACTAGAGTTGGAAGAGATCCCCAGAGGGCATCTAGACCAAGCCCCTTCAACCATGGATGGCCATCCAGCCTCTATTTAGAAACCTCCAGTGGGGTTTAATCCTTACAGAAGTGGAAGCATTGGTGCTGTTCAACCACAACTTTGATAATTTGCACAATTTGTTTAATTCAGTTGCAGTAATTTCTGCAGAAATTGAATATGTGTTGACGATGATGGAGAGGCTAGAGACGAAACTACGTAAGAATCCAGTATAGTAAGAGGAAAGGAAGCATTTCCAAACCTTGTTTATACACCAGAGATTATATGAAACTTCTATCAATATTATATGCTATATAATATAGGTATCATTGTTATATAACATACCTATATAAATAAAAATGTAATGTTCGTTTTTGGGAATAACATAACTCAAAAACCACTGGGTGAATTGACACCAAATTTGGACACAATACACCTATCAGGCCAACGAGTGTCCCTCACCCCTAAAAACGCACAAAAAACCCAGCAGAACAGACTTAAACCCCCCCCCAAATAAACTATAAATAAATATACACATACACTCATATACATATACACATGCACACATACATGCATACAGACACACACATATATATACATAAGCACACACAAATATACACATGCACACATACACGCACACATACACATATATTTACATATACACATGCATACACACATATACATATAGACATATATACACAAGCACACATGTATACACATATATATACACACATATGCACACACATATACACCTATCTATCTATATATTTGTGTATATATTTGTGTATATGTGTATATTTGTGCATTTGCATAGATAGATAGATAGATAGATAGATAGATAGATAGATAGATAGAGATATATATGTGTGTCTGTATGTATGTCTGTATGTGTATATGTATATGAGTGTATGTGAATATGTGTATATAGTTTATTTGGGGGGGGGGGGGGTTAAGTCCATTCTGCTAAGTTTTTTGTGTGTTTTTAGGGGTGATGGACACTCACTGGCCTGATAGGTGTATTGTGTCCAAATTTGGTGTCAATTCGTCCAGTGGTTTTTGAGTTCTGTTAATCCCACAAATAAACATTACATTTCTATCTATCTATCTATCTATCTATCTATCTATGCAAACACATATATACAAACATATAAACAAGTATACACACACAAAACACATATACACAGACTGGGCCACAGCAACGCATGGCAGGGGATAGCTAGTCTATATATAAAAAATGTAATATTCGTTTGTGGGACGCACATAACTCATAAACCACTGGATGAAATTTGGCCACACAACACCTACTAACCCAAGGAGTGACCATCACTCAAAAAAACCCACCAAAAAACAGTGAAAAGAACATTAAAATAAAAAAAAAGGTAGAATACTACACAGCGCACGCATGCAAATGAATTCCATGGCCCCGCTCACTCCTGCGCGAGGATACAGCAAAAGCGAGAGGCACTACCGACTATCCTCCCTCTTCCGGCCAAAGCAGGAGCTAGGAATGGATGGCACAATGGTGGGTCCATCGAGGGGGGGGGGCTTCATCCACCGCCAGGGAAGGGAGAAGGAAAGGAGGAGAGAAAGAAAGAAAGAAGGAAAGAGAGAAGGAAGGATGAAGCAAAGAACAAAGGAAGGAAGGAAAAAAGAGGTAGAGAAAGAAGAAAGGAGAGAAAGAAAAGGGAAAGAAGGAGGGAGGGGAAGGAAGGAAAGAGAAAGAGAAGGAAGGAGGGGGAGAAGGAAAGGAAAAAAAGGAAGGAAGGAAGGGAAGAGGGAGAGAAGGAAGGAGGGGGAGAAGGAGAGAAAGAGAGAGGGAGGGTTGGCCACAGCTACGCATGGCGGGTACAGCCAGGGGCGGCTCAACCATTACGCAAAGTAAGCATTCGCAGTATAGTTGATTTTGCCCAGGGGCGCTCTTGAGGCGCTCTTGGGGGAAAATAGACCTTGACATATGTGAGTTGTAGTTACTGGGATGTATAGTTCACCTACAATCAAAGAGCATTCTGAACTCCAGCAATGATAGAATTGAACCAAATATGGCACACAGAACCCCCACAATGAACAGAAAATATATTATCAGTGATTGGTTGGGGAGGGGGGCGCACCAAAATACTGTTTGCTTACTGTTGAAAATTACCTAGGGCCACCTCTGGGTACAGCTAGTATATTATAAAACATCTAACTCCGGTAAGGGGTTGGTTTAACCTCTGCTTTGCTAGTCTAAATGAATGGCTGTGTCATGAAAATTAGCAAACCTTTAAAAAGCATGAAACTTTGGGAAGCTTTGGACTAGAATAATAATAACAATAAATTTTATTTCTTGCCTGCCTCTCCTCACGGCTCGAGGCCCATCTGGATGACTTTAGCAGATAAAGTTTTAATTGACTTGTGTTATTATCTATACCCACAGATTTTATAGATCCAACTCCATATTATGGACTTTCTGCTTTGAATATTAGGAATTTCTGGTCGTAATGTTAACCCCTCTGTCTTTAATGTCCTGGTCTATGACCATAACAATAGCATGCAATTCAACCTACCCGGCGTTCCGAAGAATTTGCTGAAAGGCTGGGAGGAATTCTGCGAAGAGTCGAGCGCTGTTCCGGGAGACGTGGGAGGGGTGGCCATACCGCAAACAGCAGAAGGGCTCCAGAACGAGACCTGGAAGGAGAAGGAGACTGTGTCAGGGCTTGGGATGGGGATCCAGCTAAAGAGTCTGCAATTAAGTACTGATGTCATCCCAACAAGGAGATCTAATTGGTTGGCTCAGAGGAGGGCCAATAGGGGAGTGCACATAAATAAATAGCTGGAGGTGGCAGTTGCTGGGAGCAACGTTGTGGAAATGCTACAGCCTGAATCTCTGTTGCTGAACCCTTTGGTTGAACAATGCTTTTGGACTACAACTGGCATTGGTGAGATTGCTTGGCTTGGGCCTTGGAAAGAAACTCTGGACTCTCCATATGCTTTGCTTTTGTTGGACTGGTTGCCGTACAGCAAGGCTTCTCAAACTTTTTCAGTCACGGAGCCCCTTTTCATAGAATCCTAGAGTCGGAACAGACCTGGTAGGCCATCCAGTCCAACCCCATTCTGCCAAGAAGCAAGAAAAACACATTCCAAGAGTAAAACGGACAGAAATCTCCCAAACAGACAAGAGCACAAAGCATGGAGGCTGCTTCTTTGAAGCTCTAAAGCCCTGGACTCTGGCACTCACTCTTAACTCAAAACACATCAAAGCAAAACCCAGACCGAGCAATGACTTTTAACTCAAAATGCTCTCAAGTGAGGACTCTCTTAAGTGGAGGTTCAACTGTATATGACTTCAGGCTGCCTTTGAGTATGCAACGGTTAGCAGCTGTGTAAACAGATTCTGCAGACAGGCCTTTGACATCATGGGGGAAAGTACCGAAAGCAGGAGGAGGTATAAAGTGTCCCTTCCACCCACCACAAGGCCAAACACTCCTCAAATCGCCAACGAGACTTTCCGCCACCAAGAAGGCCTCACGCCTGCCTTACCTGTTGATGCTCGAGGGAGAGGCCCAAGGGGTGGTGGGGGTTCAGGATCTGAGGTAGCTGACCCGAAGCGTGCGACAGCGCCAAGCGGGAAGCAGGACACGGGGTGGATGTGGACGCCCCTGGCCGAGAAGAGATTTCTTGTCATCATACAACACTAAATGCCATCCCCAAGACACATTACATATGTATAAATTACAAAACACCCATCCTTCCATATTCTAACTGCTATTTCACAATGTAGTCACAACTCTAGGACATGACACTTTATCTCAACCTATTTGTCCTTGTTTTGATCATTCTAGGTCAGTGTTTCTCAGTCTTCCTAATGTCGCAACCCCTTCATACAGTGCCTCATGTTGCGTTGACCCCCCAACTATCAAATTATTTTCATTGCTACTTCATACTGCAATTTTGCTACTGTTATGAATCGTAATGTAAATATCTGATATGCAGGATGTATTTTCATTCACTGGACCAAATATGGCACAAATATCCGATACGCCCAAAATTTGAATACTGGTGGGGTTGCAGGGGGTCGATTTTGTCATTTGGGAGTTGTAGTTGCTAGGATTTATAGTTTACCTGCAACCAAAGAGCATTCTGGACTCCACTAATGATGAAATTCAAAAAAGAAAGACGGAAAGTTACCTCCACAAGAGAAAATGAAATTTTGGACAGATAATATATAAAAGCAGTGGCTTGGAGGAGGGGAACACAGTGGTGAGAGATAGAAAATGTATATAAGCGTGAAAATAACAGTATATGCCAAAAAAATTAATCTATGACAAATTGTAGTGAATACTAGGTGTCTGCTGGAAAACAAAGGATGTATAACAAATGTATTGAATTATGATAAAATAAATAAAAATACAGTGTTCCCTCACTTATTGTGGATGTTACATTTCAGGACCACCCACGATAAGTGAAATTCCATAAAGTAGGGACGGCCCCCTCCCCCTCTCTCTCACTAACTCCTCACTCTCTTTACCTTCCCCCTCCCCTCTTCGTTGCTCCAGAAGCGGCACCCCGTCGCCACCTGGGCCTCTACCTTCCTCGCCCTCTTTACCATCCTCCTCCTCGGTGCCTCCCTTTCCACCAATTGAGTGAGTGAGTGAGAGTGAGTGAGTGAGTGAGACAGAGAGGCATCTCATTGCCGCCTGGGCCTCTTGCCACTGGTGTCGCAGGGCCCAAGCAGCAGCAGGAAGCCCAGGCGGCGACGAGGTGCCTCTCCCTCTCTCACTCACTCACTCTTACTCAATCGGTGGGAAGGGAAGTGCCGAGGAGAAGAAAGAGAGCAAGGACGGTCTGGATGAGGACGAATAAGCTGAGGATCAATCCTGACAAGACAGAGGTCCTCCAGGTCAATCGTAGGCCGGATCGAGGTATAGGGTGGCAACCTGTGCTTGATGGGGTTGCACTCCCCCTGAAATCGCAGGTCCGCAGCTTGGGTGTCCACTTTGCACAAAATGTCCTTAGATACACTTTATTTTATGGGTTGTGCAATGAAATCCTTCCTCATTCCTGGAGCCTCCTCCTTAGAAGTTACACTGTCCTATCTCCCAGTGTTTTTTTAAAAAAATTATAATTTTATCCATGCATCTGGCCCTGGCTAGTGAAATTTTCTATGTTTTTAATGTTTGATTTTATATTGTGTTTGTAGATTATTTTGATTTTGCATTTTATGTATTTTGCTTGTTTTATTGTGTTTTGTGTTATATTGCTTGTATTGTATTGATGGGTGTGGCCTCACGTAAACCGCACCGAGTCCCCCTGGGGGACTATAAATAAAGTCTTATTATTATACTAGTTTGGAGACCTGGCGCTGCCCGGGTTATTTGAGAAAGGAATATTGTATCAAGTTTGACCTTTATCAGTTATTTATATGGCTGCTGGTCACAGTGTTGGTCCACCCTCCCCCAAACCTCACCAGGACATAAAGGGTGTCATGGGAGTTATGTGTGCCAAGTTTGGTCTTGTTCAGTCATTGTTGTGGGTCGCAGCGGTCTTGGAAAGTGAGTAGAGGTACTTCAAGTCCCATCATCCATAGTCTGCCTTCCTCCAAACTGCAGTAGGATGTAGAGCGGGTCATGGGGGCTCTGTGTGCAAAGTTTGGTCTTTATTGGTCTTTGTTGGGGACCACGGCAGTCCGTGGGAACCATACCAATTGAAAGTACTACAAACCCATGGTCCACCATCCCCAAACCGCACCAGGACATAAAGGGCATCATAGGGGTTATGTGTGCCAAGTTTGGTCCAGGTGCATCACCCGTGTTGGTCACAGTGGCCTGTGAAAGTGGCAGCCAATCAGAAAGTTGCCACAAACTCCTTCACCCTACGTCCTCCCTTCCTCTGTCCGTCCGCCGCATACAAACACTGACTTTTATTTTATATATATAAATATAGATATAGATAAATATAGAAGATATAGATTATTATTAAGGAGGCTGAGCTTACGCCACCACTGCCGCTGCCAGATCTGAATCCAGAACGCATTGGCGAGCCTTTCTCCTCAGTGTTTCCTTGCTACTTGTATTTGTATATTTTTAATTCATTTTTTTTAAAACCACGAAACAGCGAGTCCGCAAAAAGCAAACCGCAAAGTAGCAAGGGAACACTGTACCTTTTTAAAAAAGAGAATCCAATTATTATTGTCCCTGCAACCCAAGAGCAGCTGAGACTCATACCCTTCAGAGATAAGAAGCCCCACCACCGTTGCATTGTCTGCAAATTTGGCATGGGGGAGTGCAGGTCTCCCTAAACAATAACAGGGAAGACGAGACGAAAGGAAGGAGGGTCCCTCCTCCCGGCCTCTGCCTCCCCCCCAAGCTTGGCTCTCTAGATGTCATACCAAAGCTGCTGTGGGAAGCCAGGAAGGGGCCGGCCTCGGGGTCAGGCGGGCAATGGTGGGGCATGTGCAGCCCGGCCTGCTGGGCGGCGGAGGAGTAGCCATCTTCGTAGGAGGCCTCGGCCGGGTCCAGGGAGATTTTGGCACATTCAATGACCACATCCTGCGTCTCCAGCCGCTTCCACCTGTTGGCGAGGACAAAGAGGTGCCCATTACAAAGAGAGCCACACCGAGACAAGACCCAACCGCAGCAGGAAGTAGGTGCAGCCCAAACAAGGGCCTCAAAGGTCTTTAGGGGTGCCGTACCTCCGAGGATCCAGCTCATGATCCTTGGATCCTGTCACTAGCTCAGGGTGGATGCGCACATAGCCCATCATTGGCTGAAAACAAAGGGAGATAGAGAGAGAATATTTGTATAATTAGCGATTGAGTTATTAGTCATTGAAACTGCTTTGAATCTCTTTGTGGAGAAAAAAAGCGTGGTATAAACAAACATAATATAACAATAATAATCTATATAAATAAAAATGTAATGTTCGTTTGTGCTATTCACAGAACTCAAAAGCCCCTGGACCAATTGACACCAAATTTGGACACAAGACACCTAACAACCCAATGTATGTTCTCCGGCAACACGAGCACACATATCTCTCTCTCTCTCTCTCTCTCTCTTCTATTAACATCCAGACTGGGAGGTAGCTCCCTCTGCCACACTCCTTCTCTCCCTCACTCCCTTCCCTTTTTTCCTCCCCCCTTTTCTTAGTTCCTTCCTTCCCTTCCTTTCCTCCCCCCTTCCTGTCCTTCCTTCCTTCCTTTCCTTCTTTCCCTCCTTCCCTTCCATCCTGTTCCTCCTTCCTTCTTCCTTTCCTTCTTTCTATGTAAGATATAAATACAATATTTTCTATATTGTGATATATATATTACTATATAATATGTTACTATTATATATTACTATATAAAACAAATTAAATAGACTTACAGATTAGAGGGACTGTCAAGAAGTAATGAGAGAAGGAGGGAAAGAGGGAAGGAATGAAGGAAGGAAAGGGGGAAGGAGGGAGGAAAAGAAGGAAGGAAGGAAGGAAGGAAGGAAGGAAAGAAAGAAGGAAAAGAAGGAAGGAAAGAAAGAAAGGGAGAGAAACAAGGAAGGAGAGAAGGAAATAAAAAAGGGAAAGGGAAAGAAGGAAGGATGTAACCAAAGAGCAAAGAAATGGAGGAAAGAAACAGGTAGAGATGGAAGAAAGAAGATAAATAGGAAGGGAAAGAAAAAGAGGAAAGGAAGGAGAGAAAGAGGGAGGGAAGGTTGGCCACAGCAACGCGTGGCGGGTACAGCTAGTCTATATAAATAAAAATGTAATGTTTGTTTGTGGTATTCACAGAACTCAAAAACCCCTGGATGAATTGGCACCAAATTTGGACACGATACACCTAACAACCCAATGTATGTTCTCCACTCAAAAAACCCCACAAAAATAACTGAAGAATCTGCCACAATGCTAAATGAGTATACCGAGCATGCGTTAAAATGACTCCCTCCTGGCCCCGCCCCCCTCCTGCACGAGGGGGGGAAAATCAACAGTTGAGAGAAAGAACGGTTTGAGAGAGAGAGGGAGGGAATGGTGGCCCATGGATTCTTTTCGGTAGCCCTGCCTCTCCCCTCCCAAACGCTTCTGGGCCAAAGCGTTTCACCCCCTTCTTGCCAGCCGAGAGAGAAAGAGAGGTGGCATCCTCCTCCTCCTCCTCCTCACACCTAGAGATCTTCCTCATGGAGGTGCTGCCTGCCTTCCTTCCTCCCTCCCTCCCATTGCATTGCTGTTTCGGCAAAGCCAGAAAGGAGAGGGAGGGGAGAAAGAAAGGAAGGAAGGAAGGCTTAAGAGAGAGAGAGAGAGGAAAAGAGGAAGAGAGAGGGAGAGCACTCTTCTCCAGATCCACCTCTCCCCTCCCTTACCTTCCCTTTTCCTCCTGTCACGGGAGGAATTCTGTGTGTCTGTGTTAGTGTGTATGTGTATATACACACACACACATCTCTACACACTTCAACTCCCATATTGAGTTATGGGAAGGAATTCTGGGAAATGAAGTCCAGTACTCAAAGAAAGGACAAAAATAGGAAACACTGTCCAGGAAGGCACAAAGAACTCCTGACAGATGGCCATCCATTTTTACTCTATAGCAGCCCTGGGCTACAAGACCTACAATAATAATATCTATCAGTCTTTCATAATAATATCTATGCCTGTAATAATAATACCTATAGCTCTATTATAATAATAATAATATCTATATGTCTATAACAATAATATCTACACGTCTATAATAATATTTGTAGATCTATAATAATATCTGTCAATCTATATATATAAAAATGCTCTGTGCATAATGAGTGCCTTAAAAACAAAAGAACCAATGAACGAAATCACACCAAATTTGGCAACAAAAGTCTCACAACACAAGGAGTGACCATCACTCAAAAAATTATGATTTTGTCATTTGGGAGTTGTAGTTGCTGGGATTTATAGTTCACCTACAATCAAAGAGCATTCTGAACTCCATCAATGATGGAATTGAACCAAACTTGGCACACAGAACTCCCATGACCAACAGAAAATACTGGAAGGGTTTGGTGGCCATTGACCTTGAGTTTTGGAGTTGTAGTTCACCTACATCCAGAGAGCACTGTGGACTCAAACAATGATGGATCTGGACCAAACTTGGCACGAATACTCAATATGCCCAAATGTGAACACTGGTGGAGTTTGGGGAAAATAGACCTTTACATTTGGGAGTTGTGGTTGCTGGGATTTATAGTTCACCTACAATCAAAGAGCATTTTGAACTCCACCAATGATAGAATTGAGCCAAACTTCCCTCACAGAACCCCCATGACCAACAGAAAATACTGTTCTTTCTGGTCTTTGGCGCCCCCTATGTGACCCCCAGGGGTCCCGACCCCCAGGTTGAGAAACACTGGTGTAGAACTACTAAAATAATGTATAAATATTAAAATAAATACAGCGTCCCTACATCGTTGTTTTTCACTTATTGCGGGGGGTTGTGGAACATAACCCCCACAACAAGTGAGGGAACACTGTATATATGACTGGAGTGACACTTAAAGAATGTCCCTGTTCTGACTTACACACAAATCCAATTTAAGCACAAACCTACAGAATGGGTCTTGTTTGTAACTCGGGGGCGGCCTGTGCACTTCTCCCAAGGTAACGGGAAGACAAGCCCAGCTTGTGTTGGGGCTGCCCTTGGGGCCTGGGCTTTCCTCGCTCACCTTGACCACCTCTTCAAAGGTTTCCAAGTTCTCCTTCATGCTGTAGTGGGAGCGCAGAAAAGACACGAAGTTGCAAGGGTACATTCCGTAAAGGCGATGGAAGAGGGCGTAGACACTGGCGTGCAGGTGCACCAGGTAGATCTCGGCCACGTGACCTGCAAGGAAGCGGAGGGAGCAGGGCGTGAGACCTGGTGCGGGAACAGCTTTTCTGGGCCTGAATTACTCCCCCTTACTATTTTTATTATACACTTTATTACCACCCCACCTTTCTCCTTGTGAGGACTCAAAGCAGCTAACAACCACAATAGCTAACGACAATTTAAAACAAATCAAATACAAAAATTAAGAAATTGTATTTTTGTGCATGGATAGAATCATAGAATTCTAGAGCTGGAAGAGACCGCTGGATATCTAGTCCAGGGGTCCTCAAACTAAGGCCGAATAAGACCCCCAAGGTCATTTACCTGGCCCACACTCAGGGTCAACCTAAGTCTGAAATGATTTGAAAGCACACAACAACAACAATCTCATCAGCCAAAAGCAGGCCCACACTTCCCATTGAAATACTAAGAAATTTATATTTATTAACATTGTTCTTCATTTTAATATTGTATTGTTTTTAAATGGTTGTTGTTGTTTTTTTTGCACTACAAATAAGATATGTGCAGTGTGCATAGGAATTAATTCGGGTTTTTTTCCAAATTATAATCCGGCCCTCCAACAGTTTGAAGGACTGTGACCTGGCCCTCTGTTTAAAAAGTTTGAGGACCCCTGATCTAGTCCAACCTCCTTCTGCAATTATGCAAGAAAAGCACAATCAAAGCACCCCCAGCAGATGGCCACTCAGCCTCAATAACCATAAATCAATAATGATAACAGCAATAATAATAATAATAACAACAACAACAACAACAGCAACAACAACAACATAATACACCATCACAATTGTGGAAAAAAAGTCTGGATTATTGATGTCGCCAAACCAGGTGACAGCCGCATTGACGAAAAACAAAAGGAAAAACTCAGCCATTATCAAGACCTCAAAACTGAACTGCAAAGGCTCTGGCATAAACCAGTACAGGTGGTTCCAGTGGTAATGGGTACACTGGGTGCCGTGCCAAAAGACCCTAACACTAACCCTGCTCCCTCCGCCTTATGACACCCTTTCACGTGATCACGTCTCCTATCAACTTCTCTTCTGAGGCTAAACAGATTCAGTTCTTTAAGGCCATCTCCATAGAGCATAGTCTCCAGACCTTCGGTCCTTTGAGTCTCCCTCTTCCTCTGGATCCCTTCCAGATTAGAGTCCATATCAGGACTGTGGCTCAACTGGCTGGGAGTCAGCTGCATTAAGATCACTACTGACCAAAAGATCATAAGTTCGAAGCCAGCCCAGGTCAGAGTGAGCTTCCGACCAAATTGTGTAGCTTGGTGTCGACCTTTGCAGCCTGAAAGACAGCTGCATCTTTCAAGTAGGAAATTTAGGTACCGCTTATGGGGGGAGGCTAATTTACGACACCATAAAAATCTCCAGGAAACATGCAAAGAATGAGGAAGTACTCCATCAGTGTCACAAATGGACGGTGAAGTGACGGCTCCTCTGGTGGCCAGAATATCTTCATGAAAAAGCTGGAATATTAAATAGCCTCTGTATGTCTGTCTATATATGTTGTGTGTCTATGGCATTGAATGTTTGCCATGTATATGTACACTGTAATCCACCCTGAGTCCCCTGCGGGGTGAGAAGGGCGGAATAAAAATACTGTAAATAAATAAATAAATAAATAAATAGATAAATACATAAATATCTCTTTTAAACTGTGGTGCCCAGAATTGGACACAGTCTGATTCCAGAGAAAGAGATCTGACAAAGCAGAATACAAAGGCACCAGGACTTGAATGGTTTGGGACCCTCCTACCTGCGCAACCATATTTCCATCTACGAACTCACACGATCCCTTTGATCTTCCAGAGAGCCCCCCCCCCCTTTGCATCACAAGTGCGACTTGCGGGGAAGAGAGAGAAGGCCTTCTCTGCGGTGGCCCCCTGGCTCTGGAACTTACTTCCCGGAGACATTAGACAAGCCCCCACACTGGCAATCTTCAGGAGGAATTTGAAAACCTGGTTATTCCAATGTGCCTTCCATGATTGAATGAAAGATTCTCCCTGACCACATTTTGCACAAAATGTCCTTAGACCCACTTTACTTTATGGGTTGTGCAATGAAATCTTTCCTCATTCCTGGAGCCTCCTCCTTATAAGTTACTCTGCCCTATCTCCCAGTGTTTTTAATATTTTCTATAATTTTATCCATGCATCTGGCCCTGCCTAGTGAAATTTCCTGTGTTTTTAATGCTTGATTTTATATTGTTGTGTTGTATATTATTTCAGTTTTGCATTTTACATATTTTTCTTGTTTTATTGTGTTTGTGTTATAGCTTGTATTGTATTGATGGGCATGGCCTCATGGTAAGCCGCACCGAGTCCCCCTGGGGGAGATGGAGCAGGGTATAAATAAAGCTTTATATTATTATTATTATTATTATTATTATTATTATTATTATTATTATTATTATTATTATTATTATTCCCTCAATCTAGACTCCTTTGGATGCAGCCCAAAATCCCTTTGACTTTTTGAGCTGATGCTTTACACTGTTGGCTCATTGTTCCGCTTGTTGCCCACAAAGTCTCCAGGTGTCACAATAAATCCAATAAAATTACATTTAAAGCTCACCATCCTCTCCAAAATGCCCCCCCCCCCCACATCAGCACAAACCCTCCTGTGCCTCACCTGGGTTCTTCAAGTACCAGGAGGAGAGGCGGCCAAAGATGCCAAAGAAGTCGTGCAGGTACTGCTTCCCGGACTGAGGGATCATGGGCAGCAAAGTGATGAGCACCAGCACCCCCGTCGTCAGGACAACCACGTCAGCATCCGTCTGCAGAGAAGGAAGACAGGTCGGCTCAAGTAGACCATGTTAGGCAAGGGAGTTTATTCACCAAAGACCATCCCCATAAATGCACAGCAGAGTAACTTATTAGGAACTCAAAATTCTCCCCATGGTTCCCCTTGTTGAAATCCAAACATTTTAGAGCCAGGTATCTGACGAAACCATCCTGAGTCCCCCTTCGGAGGTAGAGAAGGGTGGGGTACAAATATCTATATAAATAAAAATGTAATGTTTGTTTGTGGGATTAACAGAACTCAAAAACCACTAGACAAATTGACACCACATTTGGACCCAAGACACCTAACAACCCAATGTATACACTACCTCTGAGGATGCTTGCCATAGATGCAGGCGAAACGTCAGGAGAAATGCCTCTAGAACATGGCTCTATAGCCCGAAAAAACCCACAAGAACCTAGTGATTCCAGCCATGAAAGCCTTCGACAATAAACCCAATGTATGTTCTTCACTCAAAAAAATTGATGTTGTCATTTGGGAGTTAGAGTTGCTGGGATTTATATTTTATTTACTTTGAGAGCATTCTGAACTCCACCAATGATGGAATTGAACCAAACATGGCACACAGAACTCCCTTGACCAACAGAAAACACTAGAAGGGTTTGATTGGCATTGACCTTGAGTTTGGGAGTTGTAGTTCACCTACATCCAGAGAGCACTGTGGACTCAAACAATGATGGATCTGGACCAAAAGTATTTATTTATTTATTATTCGAACTTATATGCAGCCTCTCGCCTGGGGCTCGGAGCAGCTTACAAGAATGGCTAAAATCTAATACAATTTAAAAACAATTTAAAACAGCAATATCAAAAGTCAAAGGCCTGTCGAAACAGGTATGTCTTACATGCCATGTGGAAAGCTGATAAGTCCCGCAAGGCACGGACTTTAGGTGGCAGAGTATTCCAGAGTGATGGTGCCACTGCTGTAAAGGCTCTGCAGACCTGGTTGCTGTTAGATACAAGGTCTTGACACTGGGAATTTCTAATAGATCTCGGTCCTCAGAACGGAGGGATCTCTGGGGTTGGTAGGGGGTGAGGCGGTCCCTCAGGTACATCGGCCCCAGACCATGCAAGGCCTTAAAGGTGAGTACCATCACTTTGAAAGTGATCCGGTGCTCAATTGGTAACCAATGCAGCTGCAGTAAGATTGGTGTTATGTGGCATCTCATCAGAATTCCTGCAAGAAGCCGAGCAGCTGCATTTTGTACCAACTTGAGCTTCCGGATCACCAACAGAGGAAGGCCAATGTAGAGGGCGTTACAGTAGTCCAGTCTTGAGATGACCGTAGCCTGGATCACCGTAGCTAGGTCGTCCCTCGACAGGTAGGGGGCCAGCCGTTTAGCCTGCCGCAGATGAAAACAGACCGTTCTGCTCACAGCTGAGACCTGGGCCTCCATCATCAGCAGAGGGTCCAAAAGGACTCCCAGATTCTTTACCAATGATGACGGGCGTAGCGCCTCGCCATCCAGGGTAGGCAGCTGGATATCCCCACTGCCCGGTTGACCCAGCCATAGGATCTCCGTCTTTGCTGGATTCACCCTCAACCTGCTGGCACGCAGCCATCCAGTAACGGCCTCGAGGCACTGAGGGAAACAATCGGATACAGAGGCCTTCCATCTTCAAATTTGGGCACGAATACTCAATATGCCCAAATTTGAACACAGATGGAGTTTGGAGGAAATAGACCTTGACATTTCGGAGTTGTAGTTACTGAGATTTATAGTTCACGTACAATCAAGAGCATTCTGAACCCCACCAACGACAGAATTGGGGCAAACTTCCCACACGGAACCCTTATGAGCAACAGAAAAATCCTTAAGGCTATCCAATCCAACTCCCTTCATCAGGGCAAGAAAACGTAATCAAAGCCCTGCTGACAAACAGCCATCCAGCCATAGATATAGATAGAAATATATGATTCATACACACAGATACAGTATCATAGATTTGAAATGGACTCCTGAAGAAGGACAATTCTATGCTGTGTGTTCTAGAGTAGGCAAACCAGACAATCTCTACATCAACACTGACAAAGGAACATCAAGAAATATTGTTTACCCACAAGTATAAAAAAAATTACATATATTAGAAACCAACACTTTCTAATTACTTTATTTTCCAGATCACCAGACTAGGCCACAGCAACGCCTGGCAGGGGATGGCTAGTTTGAAATAAAATAAAAATGAAATAAACGGAAGCCATCCTCCTTAAGAACTGCCTTCACGGAACTGCGATTCCAAGTAATGCCCACTGCAGTGTTATATGGTCATTGGAAAACAGACTTTGCATCTGTCGCCAGTGTCAGACGCAAGGCATTGTGCACTACATGTTACACGGCCCTTTTATCATGACCCCAGAGGAAGATATTTGAAACCTGTGCTGTCAAAAGACAAGGGCAACGCTCTTGTAGAAATGGTTCCATTTCCACTGAGTAACTCAAATGATTATGCCACCTATAAAGTGTCCCTCTTTGCTTTGCCTGCAAAAAAAGATCAGAAAGAGAGAGCTAGACAACATTGCCACCAACTGCCATGGAGACTCAAAGGGCTAATTTGACCCTCCCCCATAATGCATCTGTAACTATCAATGATTCACATTGTTTTTGCTCTTTGTGTGAACATGAGGATGGCCTTTGTTTGTTATATAGCAGTTATAAAACCAGTCCTGGGCCTGTGTGTCTACTTCTTTCTCTGAAAGGGCCTGGTGCACTCCATCCCACTGAAAATAGACTAAAGAACATGTTCAAGGTTCAAAATTAGTGACCCCATGAAGAACCCGCTTTGCACAATTAGCAAAGGTTTGCATTGCAAGACACACCGTGTCATCAAACAGCATGCTGCAAGTCACTTCTGGTCGCTTCCAGGGCCAGAGAAGCAGATGACGATAACAGAAGAACAGCCTGCCTCAAGGGAGCGAGCTTGCTCCATCCATGTTTAACATTTACACAAATGACCAGCCACTGCCAGAAGGGACAGAGATTTTCATCTATGCTGACGATCGTGCCATCACCGCTCAGGCAGGGAGCTTTGAAATGGAGACCTGGTTGGATGAGGCTGGGGGGGGGGGGGTTAATCTCTCCCAGCTTTGTCCACCAGGTTACTCTGTGCAGTACCAAGCGAGATCTGGAGGGCGGGGAGGGGGAGTCGCAATTGTCTATAAGGATTCCATCCCCCTGACCAGGTGCCCCATCCCGCAGTCTGCCATGTTTGAGTGTGTCAGCCTGAAGGTCAGTGACCGGGACAGGATAGGGATTCTGTTAGTGTACCGACCACCCCGCTGCACTACACTCTCCCTACCTGAGCTAGCCGGAGTGTTCTCAGGCCTGGCGTTGGAGTCACAACCCCTCATTGTGCTGGGGGACTTCAATGTTCATGTTGAGACCACTCTGTCAGGAGTGGCTCAGGACTTCATGGCAACCATGGGCCAGTCCCAATTAGTATCAGGTCCCACCCACAGTGCTGGACACACGCTGGATCTGGTTTTCTGTCAGGGATGGGAAGAAGGTGGCAGGGAGGAGGAGCTAACCATCGCTCCGTTGCCTTGGACCAACCACCACCTGATCAGATTTAGACTTATTGAGCCTTCCTACCTCCGCAAGGGTGGTGGACCCATTAAAATGGTCCGCCCCCAGGAGACTTATGGATCCAAATGGTTTTCTGACAGCTCTTGGGGAATTTTCCCGGCTCCTTGGTAAGTGACCCTGTCGAGGCTCTGGTCTCTCTCTGGGACAGGGAGATGACCAGGTCTATAGACACGATCGCTCCAGAACACCCCCTCTCGAGTAACCGAGCTACACCGGCTCCTTGGTTCACTGAGGAACTGGCAGTGATGAAGCAAAAGAAGAGGTGGCTAGAGCACGTGTGGCGACGGAAGCATAGCAGGTCAGTCCAAGCACGTCTAGATTCCTTTTTAAGGTTCTATGGCATGGCAATAAAGGCTGCACAAAAAACATTACTTGCAGCGAATATTGCATCCACTAAGAACCATCCGGCTGAACTGTTGCGAGTTGTCAGAGGACTATTGTCAGAGCGAGATCCCTGACAACTCGGAAGATCGCTGTGAAGCATTTGCTTGGTTCTTTGCGAACAAAGTTGCACTAAGGTGGTGGTTAATGCCTCCTTACAGGACGGCAACATTCCAGCCAGCCTAAAACAGGCTGTTATAAAACCGCTGTTGAAAAAACCATCACTGGACCCAACTCAATTTGTCAACTTTCGGCCAGTCTCCAATCTTCCCTACTTGGGAAAAGTCATGGAACATGTGGTGGCTTCGCAACTCCAGGGGTTCCTGGTAGACACTGATTATCTAGATCCGGCACAGTCTGGCTTTAGGCCGGGGCATGGCACTGAAACAGCCTTGGTCGCCTTAGTAGATGATCTACGCCGGGAGCTAGACAGGGGGAGTGTGTCCCTGTTGGTTCTGATGGACCTCTCAGCGGCCTTTGATACCGTTGACCACGGTTTCCTTCTGGGACACCTCGCAGAAATGGGACTTGGAGGTACTGTTCTGCAGTGGCTCCAGTCTTTCCTGGAGGCTCGGTCTCAGAGGGTGTTACTGGGTGACACCTGTTCGACTCCACAACCATTGTCTTGTGAAGTCCCTCAGAGTTCAGTACTGTCCCCAATGTTATTTAACATCTACATGAAGCCGCTGGGGGAGAGTATCCGGAGTTTCAGAGTAAGGTGTTATCTGTATGCAGATGATGTCCAAATCGGTCACTCTGCACATGATGTCCAAATCTGTCAATCAAACAGCATGGCCTCCGTTGAGTGCCACACCAATGAAAATCACAACCGGGAAGCACCAGAGCCTACCTTGAGACATTTGAGCAGAGAAAGCAGGACCGGCGCATGGGAGAGCTTGTGTTTCCAAGATGGCTGTCGCCGGATCACATGGCCCAGGAGGGAGAGGGTGGAGAGGCGGGTGCTTGGCTTGCTCATGTATTCATTGATTTTATCCAGAAGGTGCTGTGGGGAGAAGAAGAGAAGTGAAGAGAGAGGGGGCCAAGGGACAGTTCCATCTTGTCGCCTGCATATGTCATCAGTTGGGGACCCCTCCCTTTAGCACCAACTGCCGCTCTGGGCCAGAGTGAAGAGAGAAGGGACCAGGGGACAGTTCCACTTTGTCTCCTATGTTATGCTAATAATATATTATAATAAAATGTACAATGATATATTGTATATACATATAATATTTATAATATTATAATGTAATGCAATATAATACTAACACTAATAATAATATAATTATATATTTACATTACATGTAACATTACTAATAATATTGCAATATAATGGTATAGTACACTATAGTAATATTTAATGCTGACATAGAACTATGCTAATAATATAATATATTGTATGTATATATATCTTGTAAGCCACTCTGAGTCCCCTTTGGGATGAGACATTTATAAGCCACCCTTTATTTATAAATGTTGTAAATAAATAAATAAGAGAAGGCAACTCGTGACACACACACAAAAAAACCCAAGAAGAAGGCTTAGAACCAACAGAAGGAGGCCCAAAACAGCCTTGAGTATGTCTCACCTTGTCGTGGGGTTCCTGCAGTGTGGACAGGATGTGCAAGGCTTGCTGGGAACTGGTTTCCAAGTAATAATCCACCAAGGCATTGACAAGCACGGGCCCGCGGTCTGTCAGGGCAGCATGTCCACCAAAACAAGAGAGAGAAAATATAATGGAAGTTTAAGCAGCAGGATACAGTCTAAAACAGAGCTTTTCACAGTAACATGGTTTTGAGACAAGCATCCTGTCATTCAGTCTCCAGGGCAGCAGAAAGGAAGCCTGCTCACTCTTCATTATGGCATCCTTTCACATATTTATGCATGGCTCTTATCTCTCAACCTTCTCTTCTGCAGGTTAAACAGACTGAGTGTCGTATCCCAGAGCAGGTATGCCTCTGACCTTAAGCACCACAGAATATATGTCAAACATAAATGAAGGCACTGGAAGAATGGAACTTTGCAGTAGGCAAAGTGTTGGTTACATGCTTTGGGTCTTGTTGCTGCCGCTTCTCTTGTTGGGCTTGTGCAGGTTGCTGTGTTCTTCGTGTGCTGACCGGCTTGGATTCTCGTAAGTGCGGATTTCCTCTCTCCTTGACCATGGACTGTTCCTGACGACAACGCTGCTTTTTGGACTTTGGTATCTTCTACTGGGACTTCTTCAACTTTGGACTGCTTTTCGACAACGGCTTCTCTACACGGCTTTTTGTTTATGCGTTATCTTTGAACTGTGTGATTTTGGTGCATTTTGCTAGAACTCTTGTTTAATCTGGATTTTTTGCCTGTTTAATCCTGTTTATTTTCCAAGTTCGTTTTCCAAGCTGCAAACTGCTGCAAACTTTGAGTTTTGACCAGCAGCACTGAAGCAAGTGTCTCTGAGTTCTGTTTGCTTTGATTTAATAAACTGTTGCTTTGATTACATTATTGTGTCTGGCTCTTTAAGGCCTCTGGGTTCCGACACATATAATATTGATAATAATGTTATAATGTAATAAAATATAATAATACAATATAATAAATTATATATTTCATATTACATGTAATATTACTAATAATATTACAATACAATGGTATAGTACAATATGGGAATGTATGGTACTAATATTGTGCTATGCTAATAATATAATGTATTGTATTTACATATAACTTGTAAGCCGCTTTGAGTTCCCTTCAGGGTGAGAAGGGTGGTATATAAATGTCGTAAATGTCGTAAATAAATAAATATCTTTCTTTTTCAGTAGATGATCACCTCAGCCTCTGAAAGCTTTGCCTCTGTTTACTAAAACTTTGCTTTCTGTCCAAGGTTTCACTAACTTCACCCTCATTAGCCCCTACACCTGGCAAATCAATCAGATAGTAGCTCTGAGAAGAGCAGTGAAAGGTCTCTCCCAGGAATGTGGCCTTCGGCATCTTCCTGAAATAAGTCAGGCATCTCTTCTGTACTTAACTCAGGCCCAAGCAAACACTCATCCCCAGGCCCATCACGAACATCAGCATGAGACACAATCACAGGCTGAACAGGCTGACATACAACACTGAGGTCTTTAAGATGCTCCTCATAGGGATTCATGGTCTCTGATCCTTCTAGTTGCCCTTTACCTCTGGACACCTTTCAGCTTAAAGCCAATAGGTAAAGACATCTGAGCAAATCCAAACAGAGTGGCACCACGTGTTCTCCCCTCGATCTGGCCACTCAACTCCTTTTGATGCAGCCTAAAATCCCATTGGCTTTTTTAGCTGCGGCATCACACTCTTGGCTCATGTTGGGCTTGTGTTCCAGGAGAACCCAAGATTTCTTTCACGTGAATTTCTGTTGTCAAGCCAAGTGTTACCCATTCTGAATCTGCACATTTCATTTTTCTGCCTAAAAGTGTTGTATCTTATGTTTCTCGTTGTGGAAATTCCTTGTGCCAATTTTGGCCAATCTGTTCTCTCATCTCTGACCCTGTTCCCTGGAACATGAGCTCTCCCTCCTCTCATTTTGGTCTCATCTGCAGACTTGATTGGCAGGTCCTCTGAGGAGGGAGAAAGGCACTCACCTGAGTTGAGGTTCTCTGTAAAGGCGGCCGTGATGTCCTCCAGGACGGCCAGGATGGGGGAGTCCAGCATGGCGAGGAGGTCGCCCACGTTCCCCTGCTGGGTCATCTTGGCCCCTCCTTCTACGTGCGACGGCGGCCCCCCCAGGCACAGCTCTTACCGGACCCCCATGGGTGCGCCTGTCAAGCTGAGGGAAAGGCCAGATGGGTGAGCGCAGAACAAACAGACAGTGGGCACTTTGGGGTTTTTGGACACGAATTGTAAGGAAACCTTTGGAAACACATTGCAGTGGTGGCTGCTTCAGGGCAACCATCAGAAGATGGTCGTTCATGGACCAGCTTGCAATCCTGCTATTTACTATTATTATGATGACATCTATTTATATTCCACTTTTTCTCTCCATTAATACAGTCTTCCCTCACTTATCGTGTGTGTTCCATTCCAGAGCCTCCACAAATCCACAAAATAGGGACGCTATATTAATTTTAATATTTATACATTATTTTAGAATAATGCATTACTGTGTTATTGTTATATATTATATTATTATTTTATATACTGGCAGTTCCTGAGTTACAGATCTGACTTACAAATGACTCCTAGTTCAGCACGAGGCTGAGACAACATGAAGGTTGAGGAATTTAAAATTATATATATGTACTAGCTGTCCCCTGCCACACATTGCTGTGGCCCAGTCTGTTGATCTGGAAAATAAAGTAATGAGAAAGTGTTGGTTTCTAATATATGTAATTTCTTTATGCTTGTGGGTAAACAGTATTTCTTGCTGTTTCTTTGTCAGTGTTGATGTGGAGGGTGTCTGGTTTGCCCACCCTGGAACATGCAACATATCATTGTCCTTCTTTAAGGGTCCCTTTCAAATCTATGATACTATATGTGTGTGTGTGAATCATATATATCTTTCTATCTCTATGGCTGGATGGCTATTTGTCAGGATTACATTTTCTTGCCCTGATGAAGGGAGTTGGATTGGATGGCCTTACAGTATATTCTGGCGTATAAGACTACTTTTTAACCCAAGAAATCATTGGTGGGGTTCAGAATGCTATTTGATTTTAGGTGAACTATAAATCCCAGCAACTACAACTCCCAAATGTCAAGTCTATTTCCCCAAACTCCACCAGTGTTCACATTTGGGCATATTGAGTATTGTGCCAAGTTTGGTCCAGATCCATCATTGTTTGAGTCCACAGTGCTCTCTGGATGTAGGTGAACTACAACTCCAAAACTCAAGTTCAATGCCCACCAAACCCTTCCAGTATTTTCTGTTGGTCATGGGAGTTCTGTGTGCCAAGTTTGGTTCAATTCCATTGGTGGAGTTCAGAATGCTCTTTGATTGTAGGTGAACTATAAATCCCAGCAACTACAACTCCCAAATGACAAAATCATAATTTTTAAGTGATGGTCACTCCTTGTGTTGTGAGACGTTTTGTTGCCAAATTTGGTGTGATTTTGTTCATTGGTTCTTTTGCTTTTAAGGTACTCATTATGCACAGAGCATTTTTATATATATAAGATAGATATATAGGCAGTTCCCGAGTTACGAACATCCAACTTGCAAACTTAGTTAAGAACAATGGGGCTGAGACCAAAGGAAGTGAGAGGAGAGAAGGGAAATCCACTCCTAGCTTTATCTCCTTACTAGCGCTATCCTCCACGGGTTGCTGTGGCCAACCTTCCCTCCCTCCTTCCCTCCCTCCTTCCCCCCTCCTTCCTTCCTTCCTTCTTTCCATCCACCCATCCATCCATCCATCCCTTTTTTTTCTTTCCTTTTATCTTTCTTCTCCTCCCCCCCCCCCCCCCCCCCCACTTTTTCTTTCCCTTCCCCTTTCTTCCTTCTCTCCCTATTCTTGGACTGGAACTCCCAGCAGTCCTCCTGATCTCTCTACCTACCTACCTACCTATCTCTATCTAATATATCTTATCTATTGCTGCGAGTTACAGTCCAGGAATAGGAAACTGGAAATATGCAGGGATTAGGATGCTCTCGGAGAAATCCAAGGCGAAGAAAGCTTGCATCTTGGAAGCCGTGCATTTGGATCATCCTCCTCTCCTAAAAGGCCTGGTCGAGGGGATGCTGGGAGCTGTAGTACGGAAGAGAGTGTGGATATACTAGCATGTGTTTTGTTTGCTAGGGGGAGTCATTTTTGCTCATGCGCTGTAGCAGCTTTTTGCTTTTTTTTAGAACTAGTCCGTTCCCTGCCACGTGTTGCTGTGGCCCAATCTGTGTATATGTGTTTTGTGTGTGTACATATGTGTTTATGTGGGTGTATATATGTGGTTTTGCACATTTATTGTAATGTATTTCTTTTGCTTTTTAAGTCTCTTCCACTGTGTTTTCCAGTGTTTTTATGAGTGATGGTCACTCGCTGGCCCGATAGGTGTTTTGTGTCCAAATTTGGTGTCAATTCGTCCAGTGGTTTTTGAGTTATGTTAATCCCACAAACGAACATTACATTTTTATTTACAGTGTTCCCCTGTGACTTCGTGGTTTGACTTTACGCGGACTCACTGTGTTGCGGGGTTTTGAAAATATTAATATTAAATCTAAAATGTTTACTGCTGTGCGGGCCGGAATTCCCTCCACCGGCTCCCCTTGCCCTTCCACGACAGGAGCGCTTGTGCGGCTGTTCCTTCCGGGATCTTCCTCGCCACCCCTCAGGCTGCTGCTCTGCCGGGATCTTCAGAGGCCAGGGAGGCAGGCCTTCCCCACCATGCCTCAGGCCGCCGCACTTCCGGTGTCCGCGGACCTGGGAAGTGCGGTGGCCTGAGGCATGGCAGGGAAGGCCTGCCTCCCTGTCCACCACACTTCTGGTGTCTTCGGAGGCCAGGGAGGCAGGCCTTCACCACTGCGCCTCAGGATGCCCCAGGCCCTTCCTGTTGTCTCAGCCCCTTTCTGAACTAGGAGTCATTTGTAAGTCAGAATTTTGTAACTCGGGGACTGCCTGTATGTTTTAAAATTATAGTATAATAAATCTAATAATAATAAAATATAATAATAAAATATGAATAATATTTATTAATATTTTAATTAATAAACGGCCTGTATTACAAGCTGGCCAGAACAGCCCAGGTATCTGTAGAAAATATGGGCCACATTTTCAGGTCAGATACCTCGGTTCTCCTTGAATCCTGGTAACGAAAACCTTGCCTTTGCTTTCTACAAACAGCAGAAAGCAATCCGGGACAGTTTTTAAGGCCAAAGCCAAGGCCGAAGGACAGCAGCCAAAAGCCAGCCTGGCTCACTCCCAGTGCACTGGACCAGTGCCACTGTTGTCTACCATTCCAGGGTCACCGCCCTCTTCCTGCCATTGCAACACAAGACAGGAAGAGGATCCCATGTCGTTTGCAGGGATTGAGAACTGCATCCTAGATCCAAGTCAGCCATTCACAGAATCCTAGAGTTGGGAGAGACCACAGACCAACCCCCTTCTGCTGCCATGCTGAAAAAGCATAACCATCCAGTCCAACCCCCTTTTCACATTATGGAGGAAGAGAACCATCAAAGCTCCCCCAACAGAGACCCATCCAGCCTCCATAACAACAACATCATCAACAACAACAACAACAGAATTCTAGAGTTGGAAGAGACCATATAGTCCAACCCCTTCTACCACTATACAGGAAAAACACAATCCTCCAGTACAATCCTCTTATGGAGGAAGAGCACAATTAAAGCTCCCACATCCAGCCTCTATTATTATTATTATCATGACCATTCATAATTCACTACATCTTCGCAGTGATGTTGACTGGCTCTATCTGCCCAGAAGGTCTTCTTCTCCTTCTAGTAAGAATAATAATAATAAAAAAAACACTTTATTTGTACCCTGTTATCATCTCCCCAAGGGACTCTGTGTGGCTTACATGAGGCCGAGCCCAAATACAACAATACAAGCAATAACAACAATACAAGCAATTAAAATAAAGCATGGACAATACAATAATGCAAAGAAATGCTCCCATTAATGCTTTCATTAGTCCTGACATTTTAGGACAAAACACTGTAAGGATTGTTTAGGACAGAGGTTGTTTAACACCAAGAAGCGCTTGAAAATAATTCCACCATAGAGAAAAATAGGAAGCCTTTACCTGCTTTGCTGAGAAGCAGGCTCTCTGTTGTCTCTCCTATCAATCCGACCCTTTTCATGATGGCAGAACTGGAAAGGGAAAAGGAAGACACTTGCATTTCCTCCAAAAGCTGGCTTACATCAAACTTAAAGCACACGGGTTTAAATATCATAAGCCACTTTGACTCTCAATTGAGATATTATAATATACAGTGGTCCCTCGCTGCTTCACTTTCACGGACTCGCTTTTTCGCGATTTTTCAATATGGATTTAAGAGTGTTTGTCTGTATGGAGAGGCTGCCTCTGCGGATAAGGCCGGAACCGAGGATTACGTGAACAACATAGAGGGTTATGTTGTGTATAAGTGTGTGCAGAGTGTTTATAAAGACTTCCAATAGTGTATAACTACTGAAATAATGTATAAATATTAAAATAAATATAGTGTCTCTACTTCAAGGATTTTCACTTGTCGCGGGTGGTCCTGGAACTTAACACCAGCGATAAGTGAGGGAACACTGTACATAAGAGAGTCAGTAATAAATTAAGCATTATCGTAATAATAGTAATAATAATAATAATTTTATTAACTACCTCTCTTATCTTTAATAAGATAAAAGTGAGATATAAATATAACAGTAATAGGGTTGTTGTAGGTTTTTTCAGGCTACATGGCCATGTTCTAAAGGCATTTTCTCCTGACGTTTCACCTGCATCTATGGCAAGCATCCTCAGAGGTAGTGAGGTCTGTTGGAACAAGGTCTATTGGAACTAGTTCCAACAGACCTCACTACATCTGAGGATGTTTGCCATAGATGCAGGCGAAACATCAGGAGAAAGTGCCTTCAGAACATGGCCATATGGCCCGAAAAAACCTACAACAACCCAATGATTCCAGCCATGAAATCCTTCAACAATACATAACAGTAATAACTTTTTTTTTTGCCATGTCAGGAGCAACTTGAGAAACTGCAAGTCGCTTCTGGTGTGAGAGAATTGGCCGTCTGCAAGGATGTTGCCCAGGGGACGCCCAGATGATTTGATGTTTTATCATCCTTGTGGGAGGCTTCTCTCATGTCCCCGCATGAGGAGCTGGAGTTGATAGAGGGAGCTCATCCACCTCTCCCCGGATTCGAACCTGCGACCTGTCGATCTTCAGTCCTGCTGGCACAGGGGTTTAACCCACTGCGCCACCGGGGGCTCCTTGTAATATCTAATAATAATGTCAATAGTAATAATAATACTAGTACCCATCCACTTTCAACCATGAGTTTTGATTTACATTCGATTGCTACTACATGTCAATTTTGTATTTGTGTTTGGTGCAAGTTTTTTTTAAAATTTTTGTGGTTTTTATCTATGTAATTTATTTATATGTCATGTTCATATGTTTTTTGCTTTGCTGTACCTCACCTTGAGCCATTAGGAGAGGCAGGTAATAAATAAAAGTTATTATTTATTTATTTACGTCATTTATATGCTTCCATTCTCACCCCAAAGGGGACTCAGAGCAGCATATATACATATATACATACAATATATTATATTATTAGCATAATTCAGTATCAGTCTTATATATTATTATACTGTACTATACCATTATATTGTAATATTATTACTAATATTACATGTAATATAAAATATATAATTATAATATTATAAGTATTATATGCATATACAACATATTACATTACATTATAATATATGATATTATTAGCATAGCACAGCTGGCAATAATAATTATTGTTATTACTAATCTATACACATAATAAAGTGAAACTATGTGTGTGTATGTGGCTGAGGTGTCCACTTACACAAACAGGCTCCCACTTCCATGAATAGCTATAGCTCCCACTGCTCAGGAGACACCAATGGCCCTCCCTCCAATGACATTGCAGGTTACAGTGAGCGCCATGAACATGTCCAAGAGCCCTGCCAATGTCCTCCACAAACACCACACTGCCCACCACCCAAGTGAAGGCTTTCCTACAGAGACAATTCCATCCTAGATTTTATGTGTTTCCTCCACCACAGACATCCCAGTGTTTCTGACTCTCTCCACTGGCGTGGAATTTTCTTGACCCACTGCCCACTGCCTTAACCCTTTCCTATTCTTTTCTATGGCACACAACAAACAGAGGAATTGATCGGCAACTGAACATACTAGAGAGGTTTGCAGTATACTGATTTACAGGAGTTTTAGATCCTGGGATGTATAGTTCACCTGCAATCTAAGAGTACTCTGAACTCCACCAATGATGGTCCTGGAACTAACTTGGAACACAGAAACCCCCCTGACCAACAAAAGATACTGGAGGTCTTTGGAGGGATTTATTGGAGTTGTAGTTCACCTACATCCAGAGTGCATTGTGAACCCAAACAATGATGGATCTCGACCACACTTGGCATGCATACCCAATATGCCCAAATTTTAAATGTCAAGGCCTATTTTCTCCAAACTCCACCAGTATTCACATTTTGGCATATTGCGTATTTGTGCCAAGTTTGGTCCAGATCCACCATTGGTTGAGTCCACAGTGCTCTCTGGGTACAGACAAACTACAACTCCAAAACTCAAGGTCAATGCCCACCAAACCCTTCCAGTATTTTCTGTTGGTCATGGGAGTTGTGTGTGCCAAGTTTGGTTCAATTCCATCGTTGGTGGAATGCCAAATGCTCTTTAGTTGTAGGTTAACTATAAATCCCAGCAACTACAACTCCCAAATGACAAAAAATATAACACCAGTATTCCAGTTTGGGTGTATTGGGTATTTGTGCCAAATTTGGTCCAGTGAATGAAAATACATCCAGCATATCAGATATTTACATTACAATTCATAACAATTCACACATCAATAGGAGCATAGTGTCTAGGTCTAGGGAAGTAATGCTACCCCTCTATTCCGCTTTGGTTAGACCACACCTGGAATATTGTGTCCAATTCTGGGCACCACAATTCAAGAGAGATATTGGAATGTGTCCAGAGGAGGGCAACTAAAATGATCAAGGGTCTGGAGAACAAGCCCTATGAGGAGCGGCTTAAGGAGCTGGGCATGTTTAGCCTGAAGTAGAGAAGGCTGAGAGGAGATATGATAGCCATGTATAAATATGTGGGAGGAAGCCACTGGGAGGAGGGAGCAAGCTTGTTTTCTGCTTTCTTGGAGACTAGGACGCAAGGGAACAATGGCTTCAAACAGCAAGAGAGGAGATTCCATCTGAACATGAGGAAGGACTTCCTGACTGTGAGAGCCGTTCAGCAGTGGAACTCTCTGCCCCAGAGTGTGGTGGAGGCTCCTTCTTTGGAAGCTTTTAAACTCCACCAATGATGGAATTGAACCAAACTTGGCACACAGGATTCCCATGATCAATAGAAAACACTAGAAGGGCTTGGTGGACATTGACCTTGAGTTTGGGAATTACAATTCACCCACATCCAGAGAGCACTGTGGACTCAAACAATGATGGATCTGGACCAAACTTGGCACGAATATTCCATATGCCCAAATATGAACACAGATGGAGTTTGGAGGAAATAGACCTTGACATTTGGGATTTGTAGTTCACTACAATTAAAGAGCATTCTGAAACCCACAAACGACAGAAATGGGGCAAACTTCCCACACAGAACCCCCATGACCAACAGAAAATACTTAAGGCCATCCAGTCCAACTCTCTTCACCAGGACAAGAAAATGTAATCAGAGCCCTCCTGACAAAGAGCCATCCAGTCATAAATACAGATAGACTAGCTGTCCCCTGCCACGTGTTGCTGTGGCCCAGTCTGTTGATCTGGAAAATAAAGGGAATGAGAAAGTTTTGGTTTCTAATATATGTAATATCTTTACGCTTTTGGATAAACAGTATTTCTTGTTGTTTGTCAGTGTTGATGTGGAGAGTGTCTGGTTTGCCTCCTCTGGAACATGCAACATATCATTGTCCTTCTTTAGGGGTCTCTTTCAAATCTATGATACTATATCTGTGTGTGTGTGTGTGAATTATATCTATTTAACTATTTATCTATCTATGGCTGGATGGCTCTTTGTCAGGAGGAGTTTGATTATGTTTTCTTGCCCTGATGAAGGGAATTGGATTGGATGGCTTTAAGTATTTTCTGTTGGTCCTGGGGGTTCTGTGTGGGAAGTTTGGCCCCGATTCTGTCGTTCGTGAGGTTCAGAATGCCCTTTGATTGTAGGTGAACTGTGAATCCCAGTGACTACAACTCCCAAATGTCAAGGTCTATTTCCCCCAAACTCCATCTGTGTTCATATTTGGGCGTATTGAGTTCTTGTGCCAAGTTTGGTCCAGATCCATCATTGTTTGAGTCCACAGTGCTCTCTGGATGTAGGTGAATTATATTATTATTATTATAACTTTATTTGTACCCCGCTAGCATCTCCCAAGGGATTCGATGCGGCTTACAATAGGCTGGAGCCCAACACAATACAACAACACAATACATAGTAGTTCACAATACATGTATTGTGAACTACAACTCCCAAACTCAAGGTCAATTCCCACCAAACCCTTCCAGTATTTTCTGTTGATCATGGGAGTTCTGTGTGCCAAGTTTGGTTCAATTCCATCGTTGATGGAGTTCAGAATGCTCTTTGATTGTAGGTGAACTATAAGTCCCAGCAACTACAACTCCCAAATGACAAAATCATAATTTTTGAGTGATAGTCACTCCTTGTGTTGTGAGACGTTTTGTTGCCAAATTTGGTGTGATTTCGTTCATTGGTTCTTTTGTTTTTAAGGAACTTATTATGCACAGAGCATTTATATATATATAGATAGAAGATAGATATGATTCTCACACACACAGATCATAGATTTGAAAGGGACCCTTAAAGAAGGACTATGATATGTTGCATATTCCAGAGTAGGCAAACCAGACACTCTCCACATCAACACTGACAAAGAAACAACAAGAAATACTGTTTACTCACAAGCATAAAGGAATTGCATATATTAGAAACCAACACTTTCTCATTACTTTATATTCCAGATCACCAGACTGGGCCACAGCAACGCAGGGCAGGGGACAGCTAGTAAATAAATAAATTCCTATATATAAAGCAAAAATCCCATTGGATTTTTTTTGCTGCTGCATGACATTCCTGGCTCCTGTTTAACTTGTTGTCCACATTATGATATTGCTGTTAGATGCTGATTCTTATTCATATGAGGTTGTTGTTGTTGTTGTTGCTGTCCCCTCCCCCAATTCCCTTCGGAGAGCAGGTGGGCTCTTTCCCTTCTTCCCTTCCTTCCTTTCCTCCCTGCCTGCCTCTTTCTCCTTCTCACCGTCGCTCTGCTCCTCTTCCGCTTCCGCTTCCTCTTCCTCCTGCGGGGCCTGCTTCCCGGCGCTGGCCTGCCTCTCAGAGCCCTCCCAGCCCACAGGGCGCCGCCATCTTGGCCCTGCCACCGCCTCTCGCAGCCTCGCAAGGAGATCCCTCCGCGAGGCCCCGCCCACCGACAAAGAGTCCCTCGCTTTCCCCCCCTCCTCCGCCGGGCCTCCTTCCGCTCGCTGGCCTCAAAGCCCGCGCCTCCCCCGCTCCCGCAAAGCCCCGCCTCGCCCACACCTCCAGGGTGCCATCACGCAGGGCATTCCCTGAGGTGGCGGAAGGATATCCCTTGAGAAAGATCCCGTGATGGTGAAGAGAGGCGGAGGGAAGGAAGAAAAAGGATCCGGCCTTCCAGGGGAGGTCACGTGACTGCGAGAGGGCGCTCGGGAAGGAGCTCGGCGGAGGAATAAACAAGGCTGGGAAGTGGGCGGGGCCTGAGGGGGCTCGGCGCGGGCCACGCCCACCACGTTGCCACGACGACGCGGCCTAGCTCGCGTAGAGAAGCCTGCCTGACCGCCTGGAAGCCCAGAAGAAGGCTGGAGGAGAGCAAAGCTTGCCATGGTCTCTCTTCAAGAAAGGAACAAAAGGAAGAGGACCCAAGGAATGTTAAACTATATAATATATTATTAGTATTATATATATATGTATTATATATACACAGGCAGGCAGCCCCCGAGTTACAAACATTTGACTTACAAACGACTCACAGTTAAGAACAATGGGCCTGAGGCCACAGTGAAGTCGAACATGACCCCCCCCCCCCCCCCCCCCCCCCCCCCCCACCATGGCATACAGCCTCTACGCTCATCAGATGGAACCAAACTCCTGAAGGACCAAAAGTCAATTGCACTACGTTGGAAAGAACACTACCAAAGCCTCCTGAACCGCAGCTCCAATGTGGCCGAAGAGGTCCTCACACAAATCCCACAACAACAAACCAGGGATGACCTTGCAGCACTGCCTAGTCTGGAAGAAGTCAGTAATGCCATCAGCCAACAAAAGAATAACAAAGCCAGCGGACTGGATGGGATCCCTGCTGAAATCTTTAAAGAGGGAGGACCCGAGCTGACACACCAACTCCACCAGCTCATAGAAAAAGTGTGGGTGACCGAGAAAATCCCAGCAGACTTCAAGGATGCCACCATCATCACCCTCTTCAAAAAAGGGGAAAGAACAGACTGTGGAAACTATCGAGGTATCTCCCTTCTAACCTCTGCTGGGAAAATCCTCGCAAGAATCCTTGCAAACCGCCTTCTGCCCCTCTCAGAAGACACCCTCCCAGAATCCCAGAATGGCTTCCGCCCCTCCAGAGGAACCGTGGACATGATCTTCACTGCATGACAGCTCCAAGAAAAATGCAGAGAACAAATCACCCTCTGTACATGGCATTCATCGACCTTGCAAAGGCATTCGACACAGTGAACCGCAGCGCTCTCGGGACCATCCTCCAAAAAATCGGGTGCCCAAGCAAATTTGTGAACATCCTGCGGCTCCTCCATGATGACATGATGGCAACAGTCTTGGACAACAATGGCTCCCAAAGTGACCCATTTAAGGTGGAATCAGGTGTCAAACAGGGATGTGTTATTGCCCCAACTTTATTTTCCATCTTGATCGCTATGATACTTCACCTTGTTGATGGGAAGCTTCCCACCGAAGTGGAAGTCATCTATCAGACAGATGGCAAGCTGTTTAACCTCAGCAGACTGAAAGTCAAAACCAAGGTCACATCAACATCTCTTATAGAACTCCAGTATGCTGATGACAATGTCGTCTGTGCGCATTCAGAAGATCTACACGCCACTCTAAACACCTTCGCAGAAGCATACACGAAGCTTGGCCTGTCACTGAACATCAAGAAAACCAAAGTGCTGTTCCAGCAGTCACCAGCCATCCCCTCCCCAATGCCAGAGATACAACTTAATGGTGTAACATTAGAAAATATTGACCATTTCCACTACCTTGGCAGCCACCTCTCCACCAAAGTCAACATCGACACCAAAATACAACACCGCCTGAGCACTGCAAGTGCAGCATTTTCCCAAATGAAGCAGAGAGTGTTTGAGGACCAAGACATCCGAAAGGAATAACAAGGTGCTGGTCTATAAAGCTATTGTCCTCCCAACCCTGCTCTATGCCTGCGAAACGTGGACTGTCTACAGACGTCACATGGCCCATGAGGTCTCTTCCAACTCTTTGATTCTATGATTCTATGCAACTCCTGGAACGATTCCATCAGCGCTGCCTCCGGAAAATCCTGCAAATATCTTGGGAAGACAAGCGGACAAATGTCAGCGTGCTGGAAGAAGCAAAGACCACCAGCATTGAAGCGATGGTCCTCTGCCATCAACTCCGCTGGACCAGCCACGTTGTCCGGATGCCTGACCACCGTCTCCCAAAGCAGTTGCTGTACTCTGAACTTAAGAACGGAAAATAGAATGTTGGTGGGCAGGAAAAGAGATTTAAAGACGGCCTTAAAGCCAACCTTAAAATCTCTGGCATAGACACTGAGAACTGGGAAGCCCTGGCCCTTGACCGCTCCAGCTGGAGGTCAGCTGTGACCAGCAGTGCTGCAGAATTCGAGGAGGCACGAGTGGAGGGTGAAAGAGAGAAACGTGCCAGGAGGAAGGCGCGTCAAGCCAACCCCGACCAGGACCGCCTTCCACCTGGAAACCAATGCCCTCACTGCGGGAGAAGATGCAAGTCAAGAATAGGGCTCCACAGCTACCTACAAACCTACAAAAATAGTCATCAAGGAAGACCATCTTACTCGTCCAACGAGGGATCTCCTAAGAAGAAGACACGTACAGGCAGCCCCAGAGTTACAAACATTTGACTTACAAATGACTCACAGTTAAGGACAGGGCTGGGCTAGTGAAGTCGAACATGACCCCCCCCCCATTAGAGATAGTAACTTATAGTTTGCTAAGGGCAAGGACACCAGACTGGATTTATTTATTTGTCGTGTCAGGACAACCAGTCAATTATATTACATTTCTAACAGAACAAAGCAAACAAACAGACAAAATACAAAATTTGTGAGTTTGGTAGTTGATTAAATGTCCTTTGACCAGTATCTGGCCACTTGGAGTGCTTCTGGTGTTGCTGCAAGAAGGTCCTCCATTGTGCATGTGGCAGGGCTCAGGGTGCATTGCAGCAGGTGGTCAGTGGTTTGCTCTTCTCCACACTCGCATGTCGTGGATTCCACTTTGTGGCCCCATTTCTTGAGGCTGCCTCTGCATCTCGTGGTTCCAGAGCGCAGTCTGTTCAGGGCCTTCCAAGTCGCCCAGTCTTCTGTGTGCCCAGGGGGGAGTCTCTCATTGGGTATCAGCCATTGGTTGAGGTTCTGGGTTTGTACTGTCAGCTTGGGTTTCTGATACAGAGAGAACTTGATTTTTTTTCTTACATTTAAATGCTTGTAATGTACATCAAGGTGATGCATGCCATATGCCAGCAAATATGGAAAACACAAGAATGGCCATCAGACTGGAAAAAATCAACTTATATCCCCATACCAAAAAAGGGAAATGCGAAAGACTGCTCACACTTCCGTACAGTGGCCCTTATTTCTCATGCCAGTAAGGTAATGCTCAAGATCCTGCAAGGAAGACTCCAGCAATACATGGAGCGAGAGTTGCCAGATGTTCAAGCTGGGTTTAGAAAAGGTAGAGGAACGAGAGACCAGATTGCCAATATCCGCTGGATAATGGAGAAAGGCAGGGAGTTTCAGAAAAACATCTATTTCTGTTTCATTGACTACTCTAAAGCCTTTGACTGTGTGGATCATAATAAATTGTGGCAAGTTCTTGGTGGGATGGGCATCCCAAGCCACCTTGTCTCTCTCCTGAGGAATCTGTACAAGGACCAAGTAGCAACAGTAAGAACTGACCACGGAACAACAGACTGGTTCAAGATTGGGAAAGGCGTACGGCAAGGCTGCATCCTCTCACCCAACCTTTTTAACTTGTATGCAGAACACATCATGCGATGTGCGGGGCTGGATGAATGCAAAGCTGGGGTGAAAATTGCTGGAAGAAACATTAACAACCTCAAATATGCAGATGACACCACTCTGATGGCCGAAAGCGAGGAGGAGCTGAGGAGCCTTCTAATCAAGGTGAAAGAAGAAAGCGCAAAAGCCGGGTTGCAGCTAAACATCAAAAAAACCAAGATTATGGCAACAAGAATGATTGACAACTGGAAAATAGAGGGAGAAAATGTGGAGGCCGTGACAGACTTTGTATTTCTAGGCGCAAAGATCACTGCAGATGCAGACTGTGGCCAGGAAATCAGAAGACGCTTCCTTCTTGGGAGGAGAACAATGTCCAGTCTCGATAAAATAGTAAAGAGCAGAGACATCAGACTGGCAACAAAGATCCGCCTAGTCAAAGCCATGGTATTCCCTGTAGTAACCTACGGATGTGAGAGCTGGACCTTAGGGAAGGCTGAGCGAAGGAAGATCGATGCTTTTGAGCTGTGGTGTTGGAGGAAAGTTCTGAGAGTGCCTTGGACTGCGAGAAGATCCAACCAGTCCATCCTCCAGGAAATAAAGCCCGGCTGCTCATTGGAAGGAAGGATACTAGAGACAAAGTTGAAGTACTTTGGCCACATCATGAGGAGACAGCAAAGCCTAGAGAAGACAATTATGCTGGGGAAAGTGGAAGGCAAAAGGAAGAGGGGCCGACCAAGGGCAAGATGGATGGATGGCGTCCTTGAAGTGACTGGACTGACCTTGAAGGAGCTGGGGGTGGTGACGGCCGACAGGGAGCTCTGGCGTGGGCTGGTCCATGAGGTCACGAAGAGTCGGAGATGACTGAACAAATGAACAACAACAACAATGTACATACAATATATGCATAAATAAATATCTATTTTTTCCAATATTTCCACATCATCCTTACCGTTCTCCATTATCCAGCATCCGGATATTGGCAATTTGGTGTCTGGTTCCTCTGCCTTTTCTAAACCCAGCTTGTACATCTGGCAACTCCTGCTCCATGTCTTGCTGGAGTCTTCCTTGCAGGATCTTGAGCATTACCTTACTGGCATGAGAAATAAATGCCACTGTATGAAAGTTTGAGCATTCTTTAGCATTTCCGTTTTT